AGAGAAATAGAGTCCTAAGCATTGCTACTCTACTCAACACACGGGATTCGATTGAGCGTCCACCAATACTAGATTGGTTGGGTGAGAAAGGTAAACCACCGTGATCACCACCCTCCATGGACAACCGGCCACCGCATGAACCACCACACACACATGTCGGTGCACGCAAGGAGGTATAAGATGAAGAAAGAGAGAGGAGTTGGTTTTGTGTTTGCTAATTAGAGTTTGTTGACTACTAATCAATTGTTATGCAAACCCTACACATCTGATCTATTTATAATCATATTATAATTAGACTAATCTAGGAAGCAAGCCCGAAGCCCCTAATACCACTCCCTATGGTTGGCCACCTAGAGGTCTTCCTCTTATGTTCAATCTAGGACTCGTAGTATAGGATCCATTTAAACGGGTTTTGGCCTATTTTACGATTGTTAGCACCTTTAGTAATGATATAAATACAACCTATAAGAACGAACTTAATTATCTTCGTAATTTGATCCATTATGTTTAGAGTTTGCATTTGACTAAGACATAATTCTTTCAATATAAATACCTATTTAACAATATATTTCATTATAGAATTTGCTTTATATACTTTATTAGGAAAACGATGATAAAAATGTATACAATAAGAAAAAAGTCACACGTGTCAATTATTTAGAAATGGAGGGAGTATAATAAAATCATGCAAAGAAAAGGCCTTAGCCCAGCCTTCTTCCATTGTATAGTATGGTGTGGATTTCTGGCATGGACGACAACCTAAAAACCCAGGCCATCTTTACCTATCACTAATGCATGGCAGGTATGGTTTTCATCCTCATTATCGTCTCAACTCTCAACTACTACAAATTTGAAACCATATCAGCCATTTACATACACAACCAAAAATTATGCATATATATATATATATATATATATATATATATATATATATATATATATATATATATATATATATATATATATAATTTGTATGTGGCTGGCCACATGGTGCGGCAAGGGTTACTTGTAGGGTGTTACTGGTTTTGTCAGGGGTTACTTGTATTCTGAGGTTACTTGTATGGGTGTTACTGGTTTTGGTCAGGGTTACTTGTAGGGTGTTACTGGTTTTGTGAGAGGTTATTTGTAAGTGTTACTTGTATTCTAAGGTTACTTGTATGGGTGTTACTGGTTTTGGTCAGGGTTACTTGTAGGGTGTTATTGGTTTTGTCAGGGGTTACTTGTAAGTGTTACTTGTATTCTAGGGTTACTTGTATGGGTGTTACTGGTTTTGGTTTTGGTCGAGGTTACTTTTAGGGTGTTACTGGTTTTGTCAGGGGTTGCTTGTAGGTGTTACTTGTATTATGGGGTTACTTGTATGAGTGTTACTGGTTTTGGTCGGGGTTGTTACTTGTAGGGTGTTACTGGTTTTGTTAGGGGTTACTTGTAGGTGATACTTGTATTATAAGGTTACTTGTATGGGTGTTACTAATTTTTATCAGGTGTTACTGGTTTGGTATGGGATTTTGATCTGGAGTTACTTGTAGGAGTTACTCAGAATACAAGTAACACATACAAGTAACTCCACGATACAAGTAACCCTAAAATACAAGTAACCCTGCCGCACTGAAAAACCTATATATATATATCACCTACCTTCATTCTGCTAATATTAAAAAAAATAAAACTAATTAGTACAATAATTCTTTTTTTTTTTAAAAAGTTAATATTTGGATAAGATCTCTTGTAGAAAAAAATATTTAAATTAAAAAACATGAATTTTATTTTGTTATACTTCACATCACATGTTTTTTGTATACTAAAATTTTTATGATTTCATATATTCATTCATCAGTTTTCATGCCACGTGAATTTTTAACTCTAAAAATAATATATTCTAATCTTTTCTCTCCTTTTGTCACATTATTTTTTATAATATTATATATAAATTTATGATTTGTTATGAAACGTGTTAATCAAATGTTTGACTAAACCTTTTCACATAAAAAAGCAAAGGGGTGGTTACAATCTTACCATCTATATATCTAAATCATGCATGAAAACATTGAAAAGCAAAGAGGTTACATATAGCATAATGTTTATGCAATATTGCTTTGTTGATCACAGACTCCTACCGAGGACACCAACCTTTATACGGAGTATTGTTTTATTTAGTTTTATTTAATATGGAGTACTCAATTTTTATTTATTTATTTTTTTGAAACAAGTAATCAATTGATTTTTTTAAACCTTCTTAATAATTAAAAAAAAAAACTTGTAAAAAATAATAGGAATTTCAAAAATAATAATAATAAGATAAAATGCAGAGCACTATTTCAAACACTTCCCCAAGGTGTGGAGTGGAATTCCTCAAAGTCCTCAATAGTTTACAAAAGTTCCAAAAAATAAAATAAACCAAATAATAAATAAATGAATAATCAACTATAGATTATAAATACTGTAATAGTAGGTTTGATTACCAAATATAGACGATGTTAACACAATGAGTATATTATATATTACATCCGGTTCAAATTACTCGCAACTTTGGGGTATTATTTGTGAGAAATAAAATATTCCTAAGTTGCGTGAAATTTGGATCGAAAGTAGTATATGAAAACAAATTTCATTATTCTCCTTCTTAAATTTTAATTGCAATGTCTTTACTCACTTTTGTCTATGAACGTCTTCTATCTTTAATATTAGAGTTGTGTAAAAATACTTGATTTTAAATTACAATGATTTGATCTAAAAATCCGATGATTTAACCTGATTTAAAAATTCATAAAGTCAATGTTTTTGATATAGAGTGCAAAGTATCAAATATATCAAGATAAATTTAACAAGATGTATATTCCCCCTTTTAATAATAAATGTCCACTTTGACTTATCTACTTTATGCACTTGACTAATGTTTGTGCTTTATACATGCATAAGATTAAACATTGTCATCATGCACGTACTTGTTAAGATCATCTTAATATATATTTTGTAAAAATCAACTTTTTATCTTATTTGCTTAAAGATAATTAATGATATTATTGATCAAATTTTGCGTTGACCAATACTTAAAGTTTGCTAACTAAAGAAGGGATGCATTCATTTTTAACAAGGGCGGGTAATGTGCTCGACACGCGTCATAATCAGCTACCTCCGACAGGCTCTTTTAGTTTGACCTTATGTTACAAATTTAGTTGTTGGCATATTAGGGTTATAAATGTACCCACATTATTCCTTAAGAGGTTAAAAAAAACACTTAAAATCATCAGAGACAAATAAGCAAATAAACATTTTAGAGATATCCCAAACTTAGACTTTACTTTTCACCAATATATTTAAAAAAAAAAAAAACAAATGTTGCCATATAAAATATTCTTTTTTTTTTTACGGGGCCATATAAAATATTCTTGGATTAGTTTTTTTAGTGTAATTTCATTATATCAATTCTTTATGTCTTATTAATATGTAATTGATCTTACTAACGAATGTCTGGGGCATTAGATTAGCAATTAATAAATTTTCTAAATTGATATTAATTTGGGGATGCATGTCAAAATCACGTATCGATCATGTAATTAACATTGATTTTAATCTACTATTTTTACTTTTAGTTATCTTATTCAACGTCTCTAGGACGTTCGTTAGCTTTTGGCATATATAATTATAATTTTTTAAAGGAAAATTTGCAAATTACCACCCACAAAATATACCTATTTTGATATAACCACCCAAAAAAAATATATATTGTAAAATACCACCCACTAATTTAAAAAAACGCTCAGATTGCCACCCATTTAGAATTTCCGGTGGAATTTCCGTCTGTGGGCCCCACTTTTTTTATTTTTTTTCCTTTTTTTTCTTCTATTTTACGGATTTCTCACTCTCTCTCCCCGATTTTTCACTCTTCTTCTTCCTACCTTCTTTCTTTCTTATTCCCAACCACCACCACCACCACCATTGCTCCACCTTTTCTAGCAAATCACCTATCTCCTTTTCCAGCAACACCGAAAACCACCCTTCCTCTTCCCCCCAACCCCTTGAAAAACCATTCATTCCGTTCGCCAGCCCCCCCTTAGTTCCGCCACTGCCTCCTTTGTTCCAAATCGCCACCACCGCACCAAATCGCCACCACCGTTCCACCTACAACCTGCAATTGAGCCACCAAGCACCACAAAATCGCCACCAAATCCGTGCAAAACTGCCCATGTTAACCCACACACACCAAATCGCACCAAATTGCCACCAATCGCACCAAATCGCCACCACCACACCAAATCGCCACCATTGTTCCAACTTTGGCCCGCAATTGAGCCACAAATCGCCACCACTTCCCAATTCAATAATACAGGTACCCTAATTGTTGAAATAACACAACTAATTCCCCAATTTTCCCCAATTCAAGGGCAACAAGAACCCTAATTAACTAATCCCCCATTTTTCCCCAATTACAATTCTTGTGGATGCTTCTGCAATTAGGGGAAGCGTTTTTTGTGAAATTTTGGGAAAATTTGAAGAAGAAGATGGTGTTTTACTATGGAGAAGTGTTTAACAGGAAAAAATCGGGGAAGCAATGAGTTAAAAACCAAAAAATAGTTGTTATTAGCCGTTGAGTGGGGTCCACAAACTGAAATTCCATCGGAAATTCTAAATGGGTGGCAATCTGAGCGTTTTTTTATTTTAGTGGGTGGTAATTTAAAATAAAATTTTAATTGGGTGGTTATTTAGAAATTGATACTATTTTTGGGTGGTAATTTGCAAATTTTCCTTTTTTAAAATATTAATAATTAAAGTTGTGCATTAACATTTATATTAGTCAAAATATTGCGATTATAATAAAAAAAACAAAGGAAATACGACTCTACTTTTACCAATATAATTTTTTTTTAAAAAAAGTAAAAGTAAAAATAACAAAATACGGAGTGGTTGTATAATCGAAAAGGTCAATCCACGTAACCAATCTCGTGAGTCGTGACAACTGCCTTTTCTCTCTCCCTCGATTATGTTAAATAGCAGAATCTTGACACCCCATTTTTATACGCCACTCCCTCTAATTTTTTTCCAACTCCTAAAAGCTAAAACAAACAACATACTTCTATTTACATATTTATACACAAATCTTTTAATTAATTTCTCAACCCAACAAAATTAAAGTTCAAGGTGCCACAAATTTCCCCTCTATTTTTTCCTCTGCAATTTTCTCTCACCATTAAAACAGAGCAAAAAACAGAGGAGAGAGAAAAGTAGATGGTGAGAGAGGTAGAGGAAGAAAGACGGGGTGATAATAAGGGAATGCGATTGGGTAAATACGAACTTGGTCGACTTTTAGGTGAAGGGAATTTTGGCAAGGTTAAATTTGCTAAGAATATTGAAACTGGAAATTCTTTTGCTGTTAAAATTTTGGAGAAGAAGAAGATTCTTAATCTCAAAATTACAGATCAGGTTAGATTAATTTTTCAATTGATTGAATACCCATGTTTCATTTTCATGTTAATTTTAATGGGTAATTGTTTTTTTGTTGATTGAGTTTGATTTTTTATGTTAATTTCTGGGAAATTTGTAACCTCATTTTTGGGACTTTTTTTGGTTGATTTTGGTTCAGATTAAAAGAGAAATTGCTACTTTGAAGCTTCTGAGACATCCTAATATTGTCAGATTATACGAGGTAAATTTCTCGAATCCCCAAAAAATTTCTTACTATACTATACCAATTAGGATTAAATTTATGTATAAATTCATATAAAGTGGTAGTTTATGCCTTTATGGTAATGGGGTTAGTTCAAAATGGATAAATAATGTTTTTTTTTGGGGGTCATTTGATCCTTTACTTGCTCTTGTCACATCTTTAGTATCAACAACATTAAAGAATAAACTTTGTTTTATACTTTAGAGATACTCTAATTTTCACTTTATATTTCGTTAAGCTTAATCTTAAGTATTGTGATTGCGATTAAAAGTACAACTATTAAACATTTAATGACGTTAAACTATGTCTCATTTTATCATCAATCCTCAATTTGATACTTTTTTTTTATGAAAAGTTTGATATTTACTTTTCCATATATAATACTGGATTATGATCCGCTCTAATGCTCTTTTCTTATTATTAGAACACCTAATTACCTAAACTACTGAAAAAAAAATATTAAAAATTAAATTCAACATTGTCGGTTTATTTTTTTTGCTTCTCACACAATTAAGGAATGTTTAAGATTTGGATTATCCGTCCTTAGATTATAAGATGTCATGTTCATTTTTAAGGATTATCTTATCAATGACAATTAATGTGGATGGCATAAATGTTAGTGTTGTTGAAGTTTGAGCTTGCTAAAAAAATATCCTGAATTATTGTATTTCATCGAGGAAAATAAATAAATAAGTTATGTGAATATTTTATGAGTTTAATTTTTATTATTAATGTAAAAAAATTACATTATTATAAGGTGAATTAAATCTGCAAATTTTGGATTGCTTGTGAACCATAAACTAGAATAAACTTAAATTTTTTTAAACGTAATTATCATGAAGAGGTTGAAACACTTATTAAGTTCCCCCACCATGTGTTTGCCCTTGCTTGTTGGTAACTCTAAAAACCATACCTAAAGTTTAGATTAAATTAAAATATTATTCAAGTAATTTATTCTTAGGTTATGACTAATAAAAAGCCTTGATTATAGTTTGATGATGAATATGTCATTTTCCAAGTAGTTTCTTCCTTATTTTTTTTTATTTTTTTTATTTTTTTATTTTTTTAATGTAGGAGTTTCTTTGATACAAAGTATAATTGATTCATTAATTAATTAATTTATCAACAGTTATAATCCAAGATATGTTTTCTGTCATTTTTTGTGGTTGGTATTGTATAAGACTATTAAACGAAAAGAGTACAGTAATACACAACAATTGAGAATTACAAAATCACTTTCCAAAAATGTTGGATATATTGTTTCCACAATACCTTAAAACTACAAAGTCAAATTGACGCTTTCATTATTTCATTATAGTCTTTTTTTTTTTTTTTTTTTTTTTTTTTTTTTTTTTTTTTTTTTTTTTTTTTTTTTTTTTTTTTTTTTTTCTCTCTCTTTGGTATCACTTGTCATTATATGATTTTTTCTTCAAACAACATAAACACGTTCTCAATTCCTAATATAAGTATACCAAGAATAAAGACCTATGTAAGAGTGAGGAACAACTCAAGTGGTTAGAGCTACCTTCTGAAAGCGATCAAATATTATTTGTTATTAAGCGGTAAATAAGCAAACTAATCTTTGTAGATTCTAAACTAAGAGCAAGTTTAGCCCCAAGTCTTAAGACTTGAATGTGACATCATTTTTGGTGGTCCCCATTGAAAATGATGTCATCAAATTCTTGTTAAGACTCACTAAGACTTGCACAAATTAATCACTTTAGCCCTAAGACTTAAATATTTGACATATTATATGTAGAAAAATGTAAAAAAAAAAGGATAATAAAAATAAAAGTGAAGTGGGTGAAGTGGATCCCAATCTCAAGTCTTAAGTTGAGTCTTGAAATTTCAAGACTCAACTTGAGATTTACTTGAAATTTTTGAAAAAAAATGGGAAAAGTCTTAAGTATAAATCTTAATACTCAAAAAGATGATGTCACTCCAAATCTTAAGAGTTGGGGCTAAACTTGCTCTAACTTATATTTATCTAACCACTATGGAGTTGTTGGAAATTAGTAGTATGGAGACACATATTCACGTTTTCCACATTTTACTCTCATGAAAGTTAAACCTTTTTTTGTAACTCGTTAACTTTGCCGTCCAAATAATTTTCAGTATTTTTTTTCTTAAAAAGTTTTAGCCTTTTTAATAACAGAAGAAATTCTTACTCGGCTATTATCACGTCACGTGGCAAATTCTCATTTGCCGTTTTTGGGGCCATTAAATTTAATTATCCACTAATTCAAAATTTGACCATAATTTGCTGCTTTTATCACTTTTTGGGTAGATGACATTTTTTAATAAAAAGTGTTGTGCACACAGTTTTATTTAATTAATTGATTGTATGAAAGAAGATATGGATTTTACAGAGTATATTCTTCTTCCTATATTTTTTTTTATTTTGTACCATTGTTTAATACAACAAAACATTTTTAATTGACTTATAATCACTTTTATAGATCTTTGTTGTACTGTTAAACTGGTGTTTTCCGGTGGAGTTGACTATTTGACATGAACTACTCTCATTATTTTTCCCTAATTAGAGCATCTTTTTTAGGTATTGAGCCAACACATTTAATTAACATTTAATCATATTTTTATAGAGTTTTGATGTTTTGTAATGAACTTATGCTTGTTATATATACATGACCGGTTTGAGTTTATATTTCCGTCAATTTTGAGATATTAGTACTTTAGTAAGACTCAATGACTTTCCTTTAAAGTTTCTTGTGGACAACGAGATTTAACAACACTAAATCCATAGATTTCTCCTTGGATTATTATTCCACTAATTCATAATCTAACACTAATGAGACAATTTTATGTGACAGAGAGAGTACTCGTAAATGTCGTAATAGGCTAATAGCCAATCGGAGTTGCTTAATTGTTTGTGATACATATACGTAGTACAAATATACATAGAATATTTGTTTTATTAATAAAATTAGGAAAATCGAAGTTGTTTCGTGTAGTGGACCCACCTTAGAGACTTATACGCCAGGATCCGTCTTGCTAAAAAAAATGACAGAGCAAAAATTGAGGGTGCAACTTCTGGATCTCCGCTGGAAGAGTTTTATTGGTGAATATGTCGTTTTATATGACGCCAGTTGGTATGGTAGATTTGAAATATCCTGGTTATGGCAGACCAATCAATTATTAAAATTATTTAGCAAAGATACAATACCATCATTAAAATATGAGAAAATTTCTTCATCTTTCCAATTCATTCTATCCATTTCAACATGACATAATTTACCATATAAACCATTTTTTTAAAAAACTTTTTATTCTATGGTTTTTCTTGTTTTTAGTGAAATTAAAATTATGAACTAGTGATAAATTATGGAGGCGTGTTTGTAGTATGTTAGTATTACTATTTCTTGTACTACCCTAGTATGAAGTGTGAAGAAATTGAGATTAATACTCAATAGTATGTACTCCCTCTGTTACTTATTGTCATTAATATAATAAAAGCGTGTAATATATAAAAAGATAAAGCGGCGAATTATAAATGTAAAAATAAATTGTCCAATAATGAAGACTTCTCATGAAAAAATGAAGGTGGTGGAACCATAAGAAGTGGATATTGCATGTGCTATGATGGACCCATGGTGGGTCCAATGAAAAATAAATGGCAAAAGCAATCATCCAATTGTGGTGTTTATCATGCACGATATGGCTCCACTGGAACTTGGTTGTTTCTTGGGGTTGAATGGTAGATGATTGGGGTTTGCTGAAAATAGATGCTGTGTGATTTTTTTTATACAAACAGAAATTCATTACATTGTTTTTATATGGAAAGTTTTTGTTGTCTATGAATTGATTTCTGCAATTATTATTTTATTTATTATATATGGCAAATGGGTCCACGGATTATCAATAAAATGCGTTGCGTTTTACGGATTAGTTTAGTTGCTAGGTTTATCTAATTTGAAAGCTTCATATAAATTAATATTCCGTACATAATTGTTCTTAACAATGTGTTATCTCTGTATTTACGTGACTCGCATTGTCATGATTCCATTTTTATGTTTCTGTTACATGATCTCTGTAAAACTTTAATTTGTGTGTTTCGCTCGCATGTAGAGGGGAAGAAGTAAATAAGTGATCTAGTGTGAATCTATTTGATGTAAGGTTACAAGAACAATCATATATATATAAATTGACATTTTTTTTAAATCATTCTAATCGTAATTAATTCTAATTTAACTTTAATAACTACATTGACAAGTCAATAAAATTTGTCAAAAATAGACTTTCCAAAAAATTGAAAAGTTTTTGTCCATTCAAAAACAGAAATACCACGGGGTGAGTAGTAGTCCACAAAAATCTGGGGGTCCACTCATAAAGCCATAGCTATCTCAAATAGTGTTTAAACTCTTCTATGGTGCAAATTGTTTTGTTCTACCTGGGGAAGCTTTATACGGTCTGGCTAACATCCAATTCAATTATTTGAGAGCATCCAAAAAACAGAATAACAGGAAAATTTAATAAAACAGTGGCTTGAGTTATTAAATGGGGTCCATTGATTTTATAATTTACAAACTGCCATTTTTAGAATTACTTGTATAATAGTACTCCGCATTAAATAAGGTGTAATTTTTACATTTACCCCGTAATAACTTCTTTATTCACTTTAGTGTTGCTTTACACTAGCACTAGCCGAGTTGACTTGTATGAGATTTTGGCGTGGTAGGGCCTTCTCTTTAGTTTGAAAAAAAATAATAATAATAATTTTATTGTTTTCCCGTGTGGGGTTAGTAACGGGCATGGAATAGTATCTAAATTTATGTGATTTAGCTAGGCTCGTTCATGAATCATTATAAGGTATAGTGAATACTTCATACATTATGAATTTATACATGCTCATTTTCAGTTGACTCAGTCTAATTATTTTTTAAAATGGATAAGAATCAGCATTGTGCTCTCAGATGTATCATATAATTTACATGCCCATGTCAAATTGGACATCAGACCGAGCTAAACTATATGGTGGTATGATGCAGGTCTTGGCAAGCAAAACAAAGATATATATGGTCCTAGAGTATGTGCATGGTGGAGAACTGTTTGATAAAATTGTAAGTGATTTCTTCTATCCATTATCAAAGCATTCTAGCTTATACTAGCATCCTAATTTATATTAAATTGAGTTTTTTTTTTTTCTTTGCTATTCCTTATCAAGTCATGATTTTGTAGGCATCACGAGGAAAACTCCCAGAAAAGGAAGGACGAAGGCTCTTTCAACAACTTATTGATGGTGTTAGTTATTGTCATGACAGGGGTGTCTTTCACCGAGACCTCAAGGTAAGATTGCTGGCTTATTAATGTTTAACGCCAAAATATCTTCTATTTGATGTGAAATTTCACTTCATTTGCTTAAACATGTATGTCACAGTTGAGTTTTTCCACAACATGTGATCAGTTGACATTGCAACTTGTTTATTTGTCATTTTCACTTTTTTGCTAGAGAATTAAGGTCCAAAATTGTTTAGAATATAGACCATCTATGAAGATTTTTGTTGGAGCATGATTATGACATTACCATTAGGCCTTCTGCTAGTTTGTTTTGATATGTCAACTTGCTTAATTGTGAGTTTCACTTTGTTTTGCAGCTAGAGAACATCCTCATAGACGGAAAAGGAAACCTAAAAGTATCGGACTTTGGCCTTAGTGCATTACCACAACACTTCGGGGTAAGTAGCTATAATGATTGATACTAGATGTCAAATTCTCTAATACCCCTCTTCAGCTCCTAAATCTCTGGTAGCTTTTCCATTCTTTTTTATAGAGTGATGGCTTGCTACATACAACCTGTGGGAGCCCAAATTACGTTGCTCCTGAAATTCTCGCTAATAGAGGATATAGTGGTGCTACAGCGGATGTTTGGTCTTGTGGTGTCATCCTCTATGTCATTCTCACAGGCTATCTTCCTTTTGATGACAGGAATCTCGCTGTCCTTTATCAAAAGGTATTTCCCTTTTTTAGATTATAAAATCCGTCATCTGACTCTAATTTATCTTTGGTTTTTTATGATGTTGTGTGTCATTGATGTTACAGATCACAAGAGGAGATGTTCAGATACCAAAATGGCTCTCTTCTGGAGCACAAAAGATGATAAAGAGGATTCTTGACCCGAACCCTGTCACCCGAATAACATTGGCTGAGATCAAAGCAGATCAATGGTTTAAGCAAGGCTATGTTCCTTCAAATCCCGAAGAAGAAGAAGATGATGTATATGTAGATGAGGAAGCCTTCTCGATGAATGTTGATGTAATGACTGATATCCCTTTCTTTCATTTGCATTTCCATAAAATATTACATTCCCATAAAAGATGCTAATAGCTTGCAATTTTAATTTGTATAAATCAGTCTGATGGAGAGAAAAGTCCTGGCCTTCCTAAACACATCAATGCGTTTCAGCTAATTGGAATGTCATCATTCCTTGACCTTTCAGGATTTTTTGAGAAAGAGGTGAGAACACTGATGAATCTTTCGCTTAATTCGAACTTAATGTGAAGACAGTCTATCCAAAAAAAAAGTTTTAAACAGGAGCTAATGGTTGCTTGTTAAATGTTTGCAGGATGTCTTCGAAAGGAAGATCAGATTCACTTCCAATCTTTCGCACATAGAGTTGCTTGAGAGAATTGAGGATATCGTAACAGGAATGGGATACTCAGTTCAGAAAAAAAATAGGAGGGTAAGTTCTGAACCTTATAATTTGACCCCTAAAAAATTCTTTTGCTAACAGAATAACCACATATTTGGTCGACAGGTTATTACAAGTATTTTTTCTGAGTTTCGAATTTATTTGTTTCAGCTAAAAGTGGTGCAAGGAAAAAGTGATCACAGAGGTCCAGGAAGCCTTTCAATTACAGCAGAAGTAAGTATAATTGTTGCTTACTGGACAAATCGATTCTGTCAAGCATATGAATAAGTAAACAAATCTTCCAACAATCCCTGCTCACTTTCTTTCCATGATGTTGCAGGTTTTTGAGATTAGTCCTTCGCTATTTGTCGTTGAATTGAGAAAAACTTGTGGAGATTCTTTAATTTATCGGCAGGTTAATATCTATCTCCCTTTGTATCATCAAGATATTTCCGTGTGTATTGCTTCCAAGTTATAGAACTAACAAACTTTCTCTGTTTGTGCAGTTATGTAATAAATTATCAAACGACCTCGGTGCATCAAGAAGCCAAGAGTTGTTAAGTGCAGCCATATTGAGTGCAGAAACTGTACCAGAGGTTTGCTAGACAACATAGATAGATGCATCTTTAGTGCCATTTTCCGAAAAGAGCTAGAGGAGTCCTCTTAGTTTCAATATTTCAGTAAATTGTAATTATGTAGCATGAATTGTTTTTTTTTTTTTTATACTTTGGACTATATATTCCTTGCAAAAAGAGAAAAAAAAAAAAAAAAGAAAAAAAAAGAAATTCAATGAAAATTAGCTTCGATTATTATATGAAGCTGTACATACTACACAGTTCATCTTCCATTTTCCTTTTATCTACATCCAAAGGCTAAACTAAGAATGGTTTTTAACTAATATAGAGAAACCACTAACTTACTAACCTTTGCTTGAGCAAAAAATACGAGAGTCCACTTCAACTTACCTTAAAAAGCCAAGTTTTCAGTTAATACACCATACAGTAAGCTGAACTACTGTAAGAAACATGCGACTGCATTATCGCCATCAGAAGCAAAGATCCAATCAGCTGATGTCCGAAACTAACTGCACTTAAAAAGAGCATTTCACAAGTTATTTACTGCTAGTATTTTTCCTCAAACAATGGCTTGAATTCAGCTTCACATGTGTACATGGGAGTAACGTACATACTCTGGCTCAAGCTAACTAGATATCTTAGGTATCTTTAACAACCTCCTCTGCATACGTCTCGCATCCAGATATTATCAATTATCGTAGACAGGTTATACAATGTCCTACACGTAAGTCACATTTCTCAATAATCCACAAAGGATTTACTCTGTCTCTCTCGGTTATGCTATGCTTGGATAACAAATTAGAAGGGAAATGGAAGGGAGGGAAATAGGAGGAAGGGGAAGGAAGGGGAAGTGGAGGAAATGATGAGCTCCATTTTCCCTCCAAATCTCTCCAATTTTAAAGGGATGGTTTTTATTAAAGGAGGAGGGAAAATGGATCTCTCCCTCCCCCTCCCCTTCCCTCCCCTAACATATTATCCAAACAAGGAAGTTTGTCTCCCTCCCTTTCCCTTCCTTTCCTTCCATTTTTTGTTATCCAAACATAGCCTAATAGTATAATTTAAACAAGTTGTGTGACAAATCTCCTTCACAATCAATCACCTTAATACCGATTTAGTATATGCAAGGATTTTGAATCAAGTGTTGTAACTAGTCTCACATTACCTACACCCCTCTCTCTGTTTGTTGGCAATAACTTCAACCACTTGTGAGACTTGTCTTCCACGTGGGCCAGCCAGAGCATGACACGTGTCACCCTAAAAGAGCCTAAAGTGGACCTACCAGGGTTTGACACGTGGCAAGCGAATACCCCTATTGGAATTGATGACATTCAAGGCCCATTTCCCTAGAAAGCTACAAAACGGCGCATCCCATCAGTCCTAGGTTTCCGTGACCTAGCTAAGGGCCCAAGGACCCTATATATAGGGAGATTGTCCCATTTTGGGGGCATGTTCAATCAGTACATCATTTATTACTCTCAAAACAGAGTAAACACCCGATCTCGGAGTCCTAGAAGATATTTACTTTTCCGCACATTTTTACTCCGAACACTTTTTAACTTGATCGTTGGAGGCAGAACTCTAACCACTGGAAACTTCCGTTGTTTTGTAGGTACAGGCGATCGGAAACCAGTCTTAGTGACGTAACTCTCCACAGGTACACAAAAAATGAAAAAAAACCCCAAAACATGTCCCATACCTATCTAACGAGGTGTATTGACATTGTCCGAGGCCGATCAAGTTTGCGATCATCTATGTACATCATCAATAATTGTATGTCATGCATTGCATAAATACTTTTTTTATTTTTATTTTTACATACTTCGTATATAACTTTTTTTATATATATAGTGAATTTATTATTTACCATTCTTCTAAAAACTTGAACTCCAAGTTCACCCAAAAATAAAAAGCTTGGCCCCCAAAATTAGGTCATAAAATCAGACTAATAAATAGCAGACTTCTTCACTTCCCAACATTCAGAAAAAAGAGATCATCAAACAAAAAAAATGCAAATTTTTGTAAAAACCCTAACAGGGACAACCATAACCCTAGACGTGGAACCAAATAACACCATACACGACCTAAAATCAAAGATCGAAAACCATGAAGGAATTCCAATACCCGAACAACGCCTTCTTTTTGGTAACAAAGAATTACATGAAGATGACAATGATGAAAGTGAAGAAGAAGGCAACACTTTAACGTATTATAACATTATGAAGGGCTCAACCCTACACCTTACGTCGAGGCTTGGTGGTGGTGCTGGCATATATTGTTTCTCTTGGCATTTAGTACCAAGAGATTTAGCGGCTTTGGCCTACCGTAGTAAGCTTAAGAAGAAGGTATGTCGCAAGTGTTATGCCCGACTTTCGCCTAATGCTACCAATTGCCGTAAGAAGAAGTGTGGTCATAGCAACCAATTGCGCACTAAACATGTTTGGGGGATATTTCGTAATCTAGGATGTTAAAGTATTGTCTCTTACATGTTTGATACATGTATCATGCATGCTAAGCTTATATGGTTTACCTTCTCTTGAAGATTTTGTAATTTGTTTGAAGTCTATGTTTAATTGGGAGTACAACAACATATCAACGCTTCAAGTTTGCATAATTAAAGGCCCTGTTCTCATCAGATTATTTTCAGTTTAGTTCAGTCTTAATAAGTTTACTTCAGCTCTAATAAGTTCACCTCAATTCAGTTCAGCTCTTAATTTCCTTCTCTCATATAAAATATTCAATTCAGCTCAGCTCTAATAATTTCAGTTCAGTTTCGCTCATTTTAGTCAATGAGAACATGCTTGAAATTCGTATAATTATGATACAACTGTGACTTAAATCACCAATGAGTTTTTTTTAATCTCCTTAATTTTTTTTAATAAACCTTCACACCTTCTCTTGTTGTATTCCAATTTTATAATTTTCCAAATCATTTTTGGTATATATAACAACGTTCTTGTTTATCAGTTAGGACCTAGGGCTGTTCATCGGTCCAAGAACGGACTAGACTAGACTGAAAATTTAAGAATTTTTTTAATGTTATGAAAATATTGTGTGGATATCCATTATCCTTATATCATTCCGGAATATTCTAGATCTAGTAGGGCTGATTGTTATCTAAACAAACCCTAGTTATTGTATTCTATAAATGTATACCCCTAATATATGGAATAATATACACAGATCAATTCTCTCTCAATTATTATATTTTCCATTATTTTTACAACATTTAAAAGAAATTCTAAATTTTTAATAATTTCATAGAAAACTCGAAAAAAGTAAGAAAAAACTATATTTTAACTATATTTTACATTTGGGCCTTTCACATATCTATTAGATTAAGCCAGCTTAGCCTAATTAGCTTAAAACAACTTAAAAGATGAAGGTGGTCCACCTTCTTGGGGTAGTCGTGGATTGTTAGAAGGTGGTTTATTGTTATCCAAGGGTGCTCCCTGGAAAGTTGGTTCATGGAATAGACTTAGTATTTTAAATGATTGTTGGCTTCCTAATATTAAGGTGGAGTTTAAGGAGTCGATTCTAGAAGAAATCCGTCCTGCTTACGTTTCGGAGCTGTTTTTAACCAATTTGACTGTGTGGAACCCTTCCATGGTTAGGTATCTTAGCTTTTTCCTTCAGTTACTGCTGATTCTATTCTTGGGTTAGAGAGACCAACGACAAGGATTGATGATTTTATTTACTGGAAATACACTCGGGATGGCTCCTTGTCTACCAAGTCAGCTTACTCTTACATTCTGTCGCAACACTTTGCTTCTCTTTCTGGTTTGCTCCCTCACAGCTGATGGAAATCCCTGTGGGGCTTGCCTATTCTTCCGAAATGGAAGATGTTTGTCTGGAAAATCCTGCATAATGCCTGTAACATCCTAGAAATTCCTTTCCTTTAAATACCCATTCTACTCTTTAAAATACGATTTAGGAATAACTAAGACATTACCGCCACCGTGAAACGGCTAAGGCAATTATCAAAGATACACAGCGGAAGACTCAGAATTAAAAACCGTTCCAACAAGTCAACTCAAAAGTCAACCAAACGAAAATAAAGTTTAAAACCAAACGAACAAAGTCAAATAAAATCAAACTACAACTTGGAACCATTAAAGGCCCTTATTCAAAAACTGTTCCAAAACCAAACCTTTGTGTTAGTCCACATAAAATATGTCATAAATAAAAAAAAAAAAACATAAAACACCTTGTAACCTAATGCAAACTAGTAAGATTCACTCTTCTCTCATGCCCCATCATGATCATGCTTCAATACCTGAAAAGTTTATCTCTACTTGTTTCCACTACTCTCCATTAGAAATGGGTCATCATAGGGCCAAGGTAAAGACATGGCCAAATACACAAACACACTCAATCAGCAAAACTGAGTACATAAGCGTAAATTAGCCACACTAACATGCTTTCATCTATCAACACACACTTACCTCATTGCACCTGTTCACAAGCACACACACCAATCAACAAGACACAATGACTAGACACTAATAAATTCATTTAGCGTTGATTACGCATCGAACGAGTTTCCTCCTCCTAACCTCCCCCAAATAAATTGAGGTTAACTGACACGGAAGCTAACCGTGCCAGCGACAAAACCACTAAAAGGGGGCTGAATTCCTGCGCATAATAATAAATAAAAGGAATGTACAACGTCCTGTACTCCATTAGAAGTTATGGTTAAATATAAAACCCCATAACTCCCCCCATTGTTCATACTCAAGGTATATACGTTCCAAGAGTTTTGGTGCATAATCTCTTTCACTTTACGTTATTTACATGTTATTGGACTTGGTGATGACTCTCAAAACATAATAAATCAATCAACAATAATTATTCAATCAATCAAACATACCAATTTAATTCTTGAATAATTAGTGACCACATATTATTTAATGTTGAACCCTTTTTAATTCTACCTCAGTGTCAAAGACACCTTAAACGCATAATGCGCCAAAAATCCTATCCCTCGGTGTTAAAAACACCTTAAGTGCACAAAGGCACAAACATACAATTTATTCCTTGTGTACATAGACACTTATATAGCTCCTTCCTCATGCTTAAAGCATTAATAAAAATTATTTGAACCATAATAAAATTCCTTTTCAATATTCCAAACATAATTAAACATGTAGCTTAATTAATCATGCCTTCTAACATGCCATAAATAAAAATGTGGTTCAAACACAACATGCCCAAAATATAATTTTCCAATCCATAACCATCACAAATAATTCATGCATCACAATTCAATCACAAACACCATAAATTTTACAATTCCATACATAAACCTTAGCATGATCCTACTTGTAATTGATTGAAATCAAACCTAGCATGATTCTACATCATCAAAATATGCTAAGTACGCGTACGTACCTTGAGTACGTTATTAAAACTGCCACGACTAGTAGAAATTGCTTACTTCAAAGTCTCCTACACATTAAATCCATAATAGAGTATTAATATCCACTCTAAACAAATTCCCAGCAATATATACTATTTTAAATCCTCTCATAATTTAATTAAAATAGCTGAAATTATATTTAAAACACCATAATTAAGTCCCAATTAATGGGTAATTAAAATTTCTTCAAGAAACATAATATCAAGTGTTCTACATAAAATTCCAGCACTTTATTATAATTAAAACTTGCTGTAATTAAGTTTTAAAACACTTAAAACAAAGGCCTACCCTATTATACACCATGATCCTTCAATAACTCATGAATCAAGAAACTAGGGTTTCAAAAATTGGGGCTTTTTAACTAAAAGCCAAATCTGAAAATTAATTAACACAATTACAATAACCAAACATCAAAATTAAATCTCCAAACTCATAATTTACAATTAGATTAAAGCCTAGATTAGTTTTGGGTAATAAAGATTTGATTTTTAAAAAGAAAAACCCCTTCTTTTTTTTCGAAAACAGTGGCTGCCGACAGCAGGCCGGCGCCACTGCCGGTGGTCGCCGCTGCTGCCGGCTGGTGCTGGTGGTCGCCGCTGCTGCCGGCTGGTGCTGGTGGTCGGCGGCCCACAGGTGGTGGTGGTGGCTGTCGGTGGTGGTGGTGCGCGGTAAGAAGGGGAAGGGAAGGAGAGAGAAAAAGAAAAAGAAAGAAGAAAATAAAGAGAAAAGGGAGAGAAGTTTACCTTGGGTTTTCTCCACTCTGGGCAAAGTTGAATTGCCTCATAAGAGGGATATTTATACCCCTTCTCTATCACCCCTTTTACCCTAAACTTTCCTCCTTTAGTTTTTTTTCCTAATCTCTTCCCTACTAAAACTTGTTAAAAATCATAATTTCTTAAAATAAAACCCCAAATTCTATTAATTAATTAATTAAACAAACTTTCCTTTAGTAAAATATTCCCAATTTACATGGGATAAATAATTAAAACATCATAATTAAAATGCTAGAATTATTTAAATACCCTTATAAAATATATATAATTTAGATAAAATACGTATAAAAATACGGGGTATTACAATGCCCTTCCTACAATGTCTGTGCTTGCTCTTAAGGGTGTTCCGGTTGATTCTGTATGTGTTTATTGCCATGAGTGTGTTGAATCAGTGGAGCATTTGTTTCGTGATTGTTCGTTTGCTCGTCGGCTGTGGAATATGGTCTCTTGGGGTACTCTTCCATCTCCTTTTACACCTTTACCTTTTGATAATTGGCTTTAGGGTGTTATCTCTGGCTATAGTTCTTCTAAGAATTGGTCTTATCTGGATTATTTTCTGGGGGTCTGGATTACTCCCCTAGTCATACTTTGGATTTGGCTTTTGACTGGTGTATGAGAAGCCGGGATGCTCGTCAGGTTACTGCATTCCAGATTGATAGGCCTCCTGGTTTCCTGAGCCCTCCTACTGTCTATGCTCTTTGTGGTGATTTGAATGTCAATTGTGACATTTATATGCTCTTTGATGGTGCATGGGAGAAGGAGAATCATAATGCTGGTACAGGATGGTGTTTTCATTCCTCGACTTCCCTTCACTGTGTTGGGGGAGGAGCTAGAGCTCGTATGGCTAGTTCTGCTCTCCATGCTGAATTGCAAGCGTGTCTGTTTGGTCTCCAGAAGGCTCGCTTGCAAGGGTTTTCGCAGATTTTGGTTCTTACTAATTGTTAGGTGATTCCAGATTTAATTCTGCGCCGGGGAAAAGAGGACATGTCGGTTGTTTGGATCTGCAGGAAATCCGTGATATTTTACCATCGTTTGCTACTTGTCTCATTCATAAGGTTTGCAGGTCATCTGTTGCGGAGGCTCATTCTCTGGCAAGAGCGGCTCGTTGTAGGGATTTACTTTGTTTTTCCTTTTAGTTTTTTTTTTTTAATTTTTGGTTTTTTCGTTGTTGTTTCCTTTGTAAAAAAAAAACAAAAAAACCTTAAAAGATGAAATAAGACCCCCTTTCATGCCATCTTGAGCCCATCTTCCTAACTGATAAGCCTCCAAACAAGACTCCCATGTCCAAATTCAAGGTATGTGTACTCCCTTTGTCTCTAGATCTTTGCCCAATTGTAAAAATTTAATTTGGGTCAAATTTTATAAATTTTGACCATAAAATACTCATAATTTATAATGAAAACATAATCATGGGAATCATATTGGATACCTCTTATTGTATATTTTATTAATATCTAGTTTTTATGATTTTTACACGTGTGAAAATGTAGATGAAACTATTTTAGAACGTTTGTTAGAGATCGTGAAAAATTAAATAAAGAAAATATTAGGGAAGGGAGTAGCCTTTAGCATTTTTGTACTTAATCTCTAAGCCGACATCTCTCCATTGTATTGTCCCCACGCTAATAGCTAACTTAGATTCAAAGATGTATTTTTGGACACACCCTCAAAGCCAACTTATGCTCAATTTGTTAAATGTAAACTCCATGGAGTTTTCACCTACTTTAGAAATGAACCTCATTCAAGTTGGTTGTTTTCACAGCAAATGTTCTAATTATCGAAACTTAATACTTCCACATTTTTAGAAGGATAGCAAGGTAAAGAGAAATTATAATAAATCAAGCTTCTTAGATAGAGATGGTGACACCTTAGATATCGAGTCAATGGGTGTGTTTTACTTAGTTTTCATTTATCTTATGTTATGTTAAGTTACGTTATCTTAACTTACCTAACTAATTAAACAAAATTATTTTAGTTGTAATTCTAACTACTTCCTCCGTTCCTAAATTATATTTCTGGTTTTTATTTTGAGTATTCCAAAATTACATTTCTCCTTTCTATTTTTAGTAAGTTTTTTTCCTTTCAAATGTCCCAAATCAACTCTCTTTTTCTGTTGTATATTTAATGTTTTCTCACTCTTACTATCCTAATCTAGAGCTGTCAAAAGCTTATCCGACCCGAAATATCGACCCTAACCCGACCCTAATCCTAACCCGTCTGAACCCGAAAAAAATGGTGACCCGAACCCGACCTAACCCGAGTTGAAACCAACCCTAGACCCGAGTTGACCCGAGTATTTGAGACCCGAACCCGACCATAACCTGACATAGAGAGGACCCGACCCAAATGTGACCCATAAATTATTGACCTGAACCGAACCCGACTCGAACCCGAAAATGACCCAAACCCAATTTAACCCGTCAAAACCCGAATTCAACCCCACCTGTTACTAACCCGACCCGAGGTCAACCCGACCCGTTCCTAACCCGACTCGAATTTAAACCCGACCTGTTACAAACCCGACCCGAAATCAACTCGACTTGTTATTATTCCGACCCAAATTCAACCCGACTTGTTATTGCCCCGACCCGAATTTAAACTCGACCTATTACTAACCCGAATTTAAACGTATTTTAGGCTATATGAGGTGAGTGAGGTGAATCAATGATAGTGATTTTGTCTAATTAAATCAGCCAAATGTTTTTTTTGTTTTTTTGTTTTTTTTCTAAATTTATCTTCAAAATAAACTTCCATATAACTACTTATAATCCTTTTATTGATCCGTTTTTTCAAATTTTAGTATTCACTTGTTTATTTTAATATTTTTTTTAAATGTTTTAAATTATGCAATTTGATTTGGAGCTTTAAAAAAAATTAAAAAAAATTTATTGACTTGAACCGAACCCGACTCGAACTCGAGAATGACCTGACTAGGAAATGACCCGACGTGATTATAACCCGCAAATTATTGACTTGAACCGAACCCGATAATGACCCGACCTGATTATAACCCGCAAATAATTGACTTGAACCGAACCCGACTCGAACCCGAACAGGACCCTAACTCGTTTGAACCCGTAAAAACCCTAATGTAACCCGACCTGTTTTTCACCCGACCCGAATGTAACCCGACCTTTTATTGACCAGACCTAAACCCGACCAAAACCCGATAAGATGTATGACCCGACATGACCCGACTCAAGCATGACCCAACCCGAACCCGACCCGCATAGGTCCCGACATTAACCCGTACTGACCCGACCCGAGATGACCCGACTCACACTAACCCGACTCAAACCCGACCCATTTACCCGAATTGACAACTCTATCCTAATCTCACTCTTATATTTTCTCTTCATTGTTTTTCTCAAGTTTGTACTTCCCATAACTAACTTAATGAATGTAATTGGTTCTTAATTTTCAATTAGAAGCATGCTATTGGTCTTTTTTTGTTTTTGTTTTTGTTTTTTTTTTTTTTTTTTTTTTTTTTTTTTGCAAAGGATTGATGACATGACATTATTAATTATTAATCCATCTTCCAGACAGGTTTGGAACAAGGTGTTGGGTATCTTACATGTTTCCAAGCCTGTTCAGCAGTTTAGTGATGAGATTGATTGGCTGAAGAAAATCTGCAGAAGTTCCAGATTGAAAAACAAAGTGATCCATGTGGCCTTCACTTAAACAGTTTATGGTATTTGGATTCAGAGGAATGCATTTTTGTTCACTGGTTGTTGCAAATCTGTTGATGCTCTAGTTAGGGATATTGTTTTTCATTCAGTTTGTAGAATCCCGGCGGGAAGCAAGTATTTGATTGTTTAGGAGCTTCTCCTGCTTTTTTGGTCTTCTGATGCTGTTGCTGGTTCTTGCTGATTTCTGAGTCCTAACTTTTGAGTTCTGGTTTCTGGTTTTTGGGGTTGTTGCTGTTGCTGTTTTGTTTTTGTTGCTCTCGTGGCTCTATTTTTTATGCTGGTTTCTGCTATTGCTTCTGCTTTCTTGCTGTTGCTGAATTTCAGTTGTTGTTGCTGTTTCTCTTGCTGTTTCTGACTGTTTTGCTCTGCTGCCTGCTCTGGTCAGCAGCTGACTGTGCTGGGTGCTGTGCTGCAGCTGCTGGCTTCAACTGCTGTTGTTGTTTTCTGCTGCTGACTGCCTGCCCTGTTGTACTGCTGAACTGCTGCTGCTCTGCTTCTGCTGCTGTTTCTGGCTGCTCTGCTGCTGTGCTGGCCAGTAGTTTTTGCTGAGGGCTGCTGTTCAGTGCAGCAGCTTCTGCTGTTGGTGATGTGCTGGCTGCTGTTTCAGCAGCTGCTGCTGCTGATGTTGTTGCTCTGCTTGCTGTCTACTCTGCTGCACTGTAGTTGCTGTCAGTGTTGTTGTTCTGCTTGGTTGTTGTTTGTGTTGCTGGTTTTTACTGATTTTGCTGGTCTTAGGTGTTATTGCTGGTTGCAGTTGTTGCAAGTCAGTGTTGCTATTTTTGAATTCTGGTGCTTTGTCTTGTGGCTTTCCCTGGGGTGGTGTATTACCCTCTTTTGTCTAGTCCTGTTGCTTTTGCAACTGAGTCTAGGTGGAGGTTTTCTTTTTGCAGTTTGCAGGGGTGGTGTTTTTTGTTGTTGCTCTGTGTTTGTTTTTGTGTTCTTGGGCCTTGTTTCCAGAACCCTTCCTAGAAGGTGGCTGGAAGCTTGTGCTCAGGGTGTTCTTGTCTCTTTCTCCTGAACCCTTCCTAGAAGGTGGCAGGAGATTGAGCTTGAACTGTTTTGTGTTGGTTGGCCTGTGCTTAGGTCTTGTGGGGTTTGGTGTTTGTTATAACTTAGCTTTTGTAAGTTGTAACTTTTCCTTTTGGTAATAAAATTTCTCTTATTTTCCAAAAAAAAAAAAATTATTAATCCATCTTTGTTTTAATCAAAGACATCATTTAATATTTTGTATTTCCTATTGAAATAAATTCGGGATTTTATCACTGGTACCTTCAAAGATTTAAGTTTTCATTATCAGTGGTGCCCCTAATATTTTCACCTAATTGCTACAGTAATCATATTTGATTAAAACGTTTAGTAAACGTTAAGTGTGGGTATTTCGGGTGGAATATGTCAGCAAGTGAGTTTACGATAATGCCCTCCCAGTCATTAACTCTTCCTCCAAGCCCAACTAACATCATTTATCACAAAAAAAAGGCAAAAAAATTTGATTATCCAACTTCCATACTCTCTCCCCTGTTCTTAAGCTCGCAAGAAAGCCCTAATTGAAGCAAAATTTGTGGAGAATTGCTTTGACAAATTGCGGATTAAGGTTAATACTTAACTTCGATCTTGATTTTGTGAATTATTTTGTATAAATTCTTGTGGTCATACTTTCTTTGGAATTTGTACAACATTGTCAAGCAATCAAATAGGAAAGACTAGACCATAATTTTGAACCAATAAGAGGAATGAAGAGAAGAGAAGAGGGGAATTCTAAAGCAGCAGAGAAAATAAATGGGAGATAGAGGAAAGAGGAAAAAATCGAAAAAAAGAAGGGAAAAGGAGAACATATTTTTAAAGAGAGTTTTTAGGGTAGGGGCATTTGAGTATTTACACTTTCCTAACCCATTAAACCAGCCAAAAAAACCCCAGTTAACGTTTTAATAACCTATGATCACTGTAGCAATTAGGTGAAAATATTAGGGGCACCGCTGATAATAAAAATTTAATGAGGTGCACCATTGATAAAAGTCAAATCATTGAGGGTATCAGTGATAAAATCCCAATATTTTATTATTGTTATTTGTCTTATTCTTTCCTCCTTAATTTCCGTGTAATTTTACAAACAGAAATGTAATTTAGGAATGGAGGGAGTAATTTTTAAATAAATTATCGTATTGCATATTAAATTAGACATTCTCTTCTCTCACTACGCTTGCATTTAAATCAAGATATTATTTCCCCCATTTGAAGATATTGTTTATACATATATAAAACCAAAAGTAATATTTTTCTTTTTTATTTAAAAAAAAAAAACAAAAAAAAGTGATGATGGCATGTATGTACATATATGTGATTGTAATTGACATTTGGAGAAAATTGAAAAGCATGCACAACCTTCCCCTTCTCGGCTTCTCCTACTTCTCCAACTAGTCATTCTATAGCTCGGTCTCCTCAACCTCGACATCATCTAAATCCTCACTCCTTCTTCCATCTTACATTCTTCTTTCTCGCCGGAATTTCCCTCCTCCGGCCACCGCCGGAATCTTCAGGTAAATTTCTCCTTTTTCGTGATTTCGTTCTCTACTTTCATGACTGATCTCAGATATACGGCCGCCACTTATGGTGGTGCTGCTGTGTTATTTTAGATATTGCTAATTTGATTGTGATTATTTCAGCATTTCTATGTTTTGATAATTGATTGTAATTGAGGTTTGAGACCTAGATGTTTGGAATTTGTACATCAGATTTTAGAATCATTACTTAGATTTGATTTTGTGTTTGATTCAACTCTGAAGTATATATAAGTAGTATGTGTAATCATGTTGCTAAATCTTTTTATTTTATTGATGGATTGATTTGTTGTTTATTGAATTAGTATGGTGGTGTTGTGTTGTAAAATGGGTTTGTACTAAGTACTTTATATTATGTAATTATACTCATACTTGGTCCGAGGATTTTCACAACATTGGGGTTGGACCGTCGATTAGGAAAATAGTGGAAGAGGGGTTAGAAAATGATTATATGTGATTAGAAACTTGAAATTGGATGGAAAGAAAAAGTGGTAAGAAAAAAGTGTAGGAATGGTGAGGAAAAAAGGGTTGATGTGATAAGGGAGAAAAAAGTTGTGAGATGTAAGGGGGGACCGAAGTCATCTGGGGCGAGGGAATGTTTTTCTAAAGTTGTATTGTGAGGATATCCCGGAATCATTTCATTTAGTGAATATGGACAGAATTTCGAGATATGTATGTGATTCTAGATGGTTGGATGATTGATAATAATATTGGACGATGCTATTATCTAAAGTGGGAGAATAAAGGGTTTAAGTGTTTAACTCTCATTTGGTATCTCCAAGAATAATGGATATATTGTATATTCTTTATTGAATATTGATTGAAGGCTTTATTGATTGATTTATGCTGCTTGAGGGGTGTGTGCACTAGAGGTTATTATAAGTAAACTATTCAGGGCTTCTTGATTTATTCGTGATAGGCGGGGCAGGTTTCCTAGGTCTATCATTGTAACTCAGTAGGTTGGCAGAGGGGAGTCTTCCAAGATTCGCTAGGATGGAGTTGTGAATGTTCAGCATGCATTATATGTTTATATCTCATCTGATCATTCATGTGTGAGTTATTTAATTTTAAACATGACTACCAATTCTAATTTGTACATACCAAATTAATAGTCCACTTTCTATCTCCACATAGTAAACTGAATTATTAATTATCCCATTGTACCATTAATGTTCAACATTTAGATTTTCCACAACTTCAATAGTTCAGATATGATTTAATATTCCTTGAACCATATAAAGCTGGTTGGTCAGATGATCCTTAATCATATTCAGCTCAAGTCCAGTCTGTTGTACAGTTCTAATTTCACTAACCCATTCTTGGTCTTTCTTTTTTCTCATCCAGTTTTGATTCTATTTTGAATATTCTTAATTTTGAGTTCTACTGAATTTTTGCTACCGATCACTCAGATGGGGGATCAAACGAATCACCCGGAGTCAAAAATTGAGGAGGAAATGGAGAGAGTGGTAGAGCAAATAAAACAATTGCAGGAAGCAGCAACTTCTTTGATTTCCATGTCATCGAGAGAAGAGAAAGTCCTTCAACAACGTGCTCTTTCACTCGATGCATCCATAGTGAAACTTCGTTCCTCCATCAGTTCTCTCACGATGGATGGTTGCATAGATGCCACGCTAGCTGAAAAGGTCTTAATCAATTACTTTATAGTTGAGCTGATTTCGTTGTTTTTGTTGTTTGTTGCTATAATTGTAATTTAATTTTGATTTTATTGGTGCAGCTTGAAGATGAGTTGAATAGAGCAAAATGCATTCTTGTTGATGGAGATGCTTCATCTTTTCTTGCTGGCAAAGTTGACAGTGCGTGTCATTTGTTTTTTTCACTTGGGATCAACTGTTGTTGCTAATTGTGGTGACTTATTAGTTTGATTTACTATATAGGTCGGTTCTTGAAGATGTTTCTTGGTCCAATTAACGTGCGAGCCATTAGGAAGGATGTGCAGTTTAAAGTCAAAGAGGAGTATAATAGCTACAAGGTTGGTTCTTTTTTGCTGATCACTTATTTTTTATCTTTATTAATTAATTCCTTTTTTACAAATTGGAATTTGTTGCAATTGAATTTATTAAGCATTCACCGAACAAGTACATTAAATTGATTCTTTAAATTATTAGTTTTGTTTTTCTATACAGGCTGTACAATTTGTAGAAAGAGAAAAAGGGGAAATAAGTTCCTGGGTGATTGTGTGCCTTTCATCGCCTGTCACACTTACTAATGCATACCTTTGATGTGAATATCTCTGATAATCTTGTAGGAAAATTGTATTAAATTTTGATAATTTGAAAGTATGTATTAAGACAAATCTAACAAGATCTCACATGACTTATTTTCCTTATGTATAAATCATATAATATGGTCAAAGGAAAGGGCATGAATAGTGTACAAGTCAAAATGGTGCAAGTAGCAAAGAATAGAGGAGGTATAAATTATCCTGGAGAGAGGGGGGGGCATGGAGAGTTAGAAAGAGAGAAAATGGTCTCTGTAAGTTGAATTAACGATTTTGGTTGCTGAATTTATTTAGTTATTTGCATACACGTGTCACACTGTTAAAAACTGCTAAGGATTCATGATCAACTCAAATCAACAACTATTGCTGAATGATACAGATTAATATTTTTTGTTCAGCATTGGATGTGGATAGTTAAGGAAGAAAAAATAGCAAGGGATAGGGGTGGTGAGCTGAAAGTACTTTTCTTAATCAAGTAATCAACCACACCTGTGATGCCATTATTAAATCTGTAAGTTTTGGAAGGGGTCCATATTTATGTCAGGGTAGGGGAGCTCACATGTATCAATGTATGTAACCTTGTTTGTACAATTGCTAGAGTTTCCAATAGTACCCCTAACTGGAAAGATACTATTGATTTAACATAATGACTAATAATGAGCCAAAGGCAACTACTGAAATATTATATTTAATTCATTGTATTGTGGTTAAATCTATCATATTGTCATGAAATTTATTTTACTAGGTGCTTAGGTAGTGAAACACATTAACACATGCATGTGTGAATATCAATTTTTTCTATGGGTGACTAAATCTATAGGCTAACAGACTCCATATATTGCCTTTTTGTCTGCTTTCATCTTCTTTCTCTTGTTGATCCCTCTTTTTCTTTTAGGTTTCAGATTTTTTTTTTAATTTAATTGTCACTCTTTGGTTGAGCAGGATAGAACTGCCTGTTTGTTTCTTCTTTTGCCATCAATGCTACTATTTCTTAGATCTTGGATGTGGGATGGCTGCATGCCTGCTTTTCCAGTTCAATTGTATCAGGTACAGGCTAGACTTGGCCACATAAACTGCAATTTTATTTTATAGTTAGCTTAATTTAATCACGGCTATTTGTGTACTTTGTTAGGCTTGGCTTTTATTCCTGTACACAGGTTTGGCTTTGAGAGAAAACGTCTTAAGAGTGAATGGGAGTGACATTCGTCCATGGTAATGCTTTTAATTCTTTATGCCTTGTTGTCTTGTTATATCATGTGTATTAATTTAGTTGTGGTGACCTATTTTCAATCTTTTATCTTGTGCATGAGTTTACTTGGTGTATTACCTAATTATGTCATATGTCCCCTATTTACTTAAAATTGCAACACTTAAAATTGGCACAATTGGGCAAGAGATGAGAGGTAGTTAGTGAGTTGCTAACCCATGTAATTACGAAAAAAGTGAAATATATTATGTGATAGGGGGGATAGAGAAAGAGCAGGACTATAATGAGTAAAGTATACGTATAAACATGTAAAAGTTTCCAAATCGGGAAGTGTCACAAAATTTTGAAATATCCTAAATTAGCAATTGTTTCAATTTTTGTGAAACAAAGGAAATTTGATACAAAAAAAAAAGAGTTTTAAATTCATTTAGCCGGTCATTTTCCTTTTATTTGCTGGTTTATGCTCCCTTTAGTTCTCTAATGAGCATGTCGTGCTTATTTAGATGTACTTTTTTGGAGCTTTCCTGGATCATTTTGTGGTGTTGTTTCTATAGCCAACGTGCCCCACGATATCTGGTAGGTTGATGACTTAGATCAGCTACACTGCTTTAGGTATAGATTATAGTTTGTGTGTACACTGGAAGACTGTAGTTATTATGTGTGGGCTACCTTAACAGGAAAGCATACTATTTGTATGCTCATAAGATGTTGTGCAATAGATGGACCACACACTAAATAATATCTTATTTACGTCCAATAAAATATGTCTAGCAGCAGGGGCTTTATTAGCTGTATAGGAGAAGTTAAAAGAAATTGAGCTAATTTGTAATCTATTTCTGCTGTTTTGAGAATTTTGCCCTCTTTTGTATTTTGATTCTTCTGTTCAGGTATATTATGCTTTTTAAATTAAACCAGTGTATAAATAATATGTGTAACTGTCTCCAAACCTACCAACCCCTTCCCTAGAGAGAGTGCCCCACAATGACTACCACCTGACTGGTGATTGTTGCTGGTGACTATTAAGAATTAACCACCGTTCAGCTGTTCCATTTATGCTTTTGTGTGAAACTTATGATAGAATGAACTTATGCACTCCTTTAATGATTTCGATTGGGTTGGTTCAAATTTATCTAGAATATTGAGGATTTCACTCTAATGAACTTACGCTCTAGAATATTCTTGCTTTTATCTCGTTAGACTCGTTCTTCAATAGGTTTCATACCTTACAAACAGACCTTTGTTGGGGACTTGGGGTTGGAAGGGGAGCTTTTGTATGGTGTTTTGCTGGCCACTGGAAGTTTATTTGTCATCCATATTTACATCTATTTACTTCCAGTGTCTAAATTTATTTGTCATCCATATTTACTTCTATGTGTTTAAACAGTGTCTAAATTAAACAGCACTGTAAGTTGATTTGTCATCCTTATTTACATCTATGTGTTTAAACAGTGTCTAAATTACATTGTGCCAACTTTTGCAGGTGGATTTATCATCATTACTGTGCAATGGTAATGGCACTTGTGAGCCTTACTTGGGAAGTAAAAGGCCAACCTGACTGTGCTCAGAAGCAGGTTAGTTTTTTTTTTTTTTAGAATGCTTCATGTTAGAGACTGTAGAGTTCCATGCATAAGATTTTAGCCTTAAGTAACAAAATTCATCTTTCGTTTGCTCTAAAATAATTTGGTTAGTTGCAGCAGTGAGTATTCCTGCTGTCATCTTTGTGAAGATCTATTACTGCCGATATTGAGTCTCAACTTTATGACTTTTTTTTTTGTCATCTTTCTTTCTTTCTTTCTCCCGACTTTATGACTTACACTATAGAAAATCAAGTACAATTTGTCAAAAAAATAAAAAAATAAAAAATAAATAAGTATAATGGAAGATAAAATGACTCAAGTGGTGGATTCTTACTTATTGTAGTTTATTTAGCATTCCTTTCTTGTTGAGTTCAATTTTGACTAGCCTTACTTATGCTAAGGGTCTTTTAAGCCACACTTTCCATGAATAAACAGCATAAAGACTTTTGATCCTGAATTTTTAGCTTTAATACTTATGTTACTATTATGATAAACAATTTTTTTTTTTTTTTTTTTTTTTTTTTTTTTTTTTTTTGTGTGTGTGTGTGTGTGTGTGTGTGTGTGTGTGATGGGAACTCTTGATCTGAGAGGTGCAATAGGTTTTGTGCCTAGGTTCATGCATTACATAAGCTAATGCTTTTATGTGAATGAAAGTATGAAATACGTAGCTTTGAAACCATAATTGAATGATGATCTAACATCTCACAATTTGTCACTTAAATTGTAGCCGTCGAGTTTGATTGTGCTGTCTAACAATTTGTGAGTCCCCTAGTAGAATTCAAGCTTGAGAGAGCTGTCTAGATCTATCTCTAGTTTGAAACTTAAAAAAAAATAAAATGCAAACATGATCAAATCCTAAATTTTCCATATCTTTGATTTTAAATGAAAAAAGGAATTTTTATTTATTTATTTTTATTTTATATCTTTGACTTCAAACGAACAAGAATCTATTTAAGTATTTTTTGTTCAATTTCTTGAGACTAAGGATTTCATTTATAATACAGGTTGATCACTACTTTTTGTATCTAATTTGATTCCATATTTTTGAGCTCTGAAAGAAACTGTAAAGTTACTTTTTTTGAGGCCAAGGTATATGAGCTGTAGTCAATGATTTCCGTACGTTTTTCGGAGGCTGATCATCATTTACAACCTGATATACATTATCAGGTTTGTTTCTTGTTTGTTCTGTAACACTCGCTCAATTTCATGCAGAGAGGGGTTGAACTTTTCCTACAATGGGCTATGATGCAAGGAGTTGCAATGCTATTGCAAAACCGTTACCAACGGCAAAGGCTGTACACTCGCATTGCACTAGGAAAGGTCTGTGCTTTCTAATTTGAGATAATGCTCATCAGCACATGTACCCCATGAATTTAATCTAAATAAAACTTCTTGGCATAACATGTTTGGATATCAACTTAGATTTGAGGAGTTTGTAATTGGTATGAAACTTGGACATCCATTGGTTTTCTATAGGCTGCATTATGTCTTGACCTTAACTCCATGGAAGAACAAGCTGAAAGGATCAGCTGTGCAACCTCAATTGTCCTTAAATAGAAATAATTTTAAGAAGGTTATTATATGAGGCGCGAGTAAGTATGCTATAGTATAAAAAGCTAACTAAAGGCCATCATCAACTTGAATAGTAATTGATAGTTATTTAGTTGTGTATTATATCAAGGTTGGCATGTATATGATGGATTCTTTGTAACTGCATCCATGAAGTGAGCATATATAGAATTAAGTAGACTTAATCTTTGCATACACCATGAGCTTCCAATGGAGCTCATACTATTGTTTCTGATGGAATGTTCATATTGCTCAGATGCTGCTTCTATTAATTCTATATGAGTAGACTGTTGTCAAAAGAAAGAAAATAGCTGTTGCATTGATTGTGGTAATGATTGCAGATCTGTGGAAGCAAACTTGTAATGTTGTGTGTTATGTCTGACACAGCTTGAATTGACAAATTTGGAAAAATTGGATTCCTTCATTGTAATTTACTAATTTAAGTGGATAATTATAATTACACTTGCATGCTTCAGCGTCTTATGTTCTGTGAAGAAAGTGATTTTATGATGTGACTAAAATATGATTCTGAATGTGAAAATACTAGTATTAGTATGCATGACAATTTTATATTTAAAAGAACCTCTCATGTGGGTTAGAACTAGTCACCCCACATTGAAGAAGAGTAAGGAGGATGACCAGCAATTTAGGTTTGGTGGGCTATTGATTAACAAGTGGGATGGATTAGGTAGCCGTACAATTTCTGGGCTTGTATGTGGCCTGACTCTTTTGACAGAAAAAATGGCGTGTTTTAAACACTTGTTGTGAGATGGATGTTCCCATAAGTCATAATGGTTGGTTGAAAATCTTTTAGCATGAACCTTTTTTTTTTCTTTTTTTTTTTTTTTTAACATGAGTGTACTGCTGTAAGCTTCACTAGGTTTGTAAGTTTGTGTTCAATTCTTCATTATTGTAGTGTGATATTTTGCAAATATTGTTCAGGCAGGAGAGGGGACCCCTTCCTAATGGTATAGAAGTTTCACACTGTTATCTTCTGACATATTTCACAGGCAAAGAGAATGGATGTTGTGTGGGGAGAATCAACTGGAGAGCGTGGCCAGCTTTTGCTGCTTTGCCCCATTCTTTTCATTTTGCAGGTATTTGGTATTCATTGCTTATTGCATTACAAATGCTGCATAATCTTTTATTGTTGCATAAGGCATTATGTACCTATACTTTACCCTATAGTTTTCATTTTGCATTTACTTGGGATTATATTATTACATCAAGAAAAGGATTTTATTATGTTCCCATGGAAATTCATATGAGGAAAGCCCCTTTACAAAAGTTTCACTCCCCCCCCACCAAAAAAAAAAAAATAAATAAATAAAAATGGAGGGATTTGACAGGAAAGAGAAAATAACAGTTGTATCGAATTTCCTTTCTCCTATAAAATGCCTATGTTTGGATAGAGAGAAATGAAGGGAAAGGAAGAGAATAGAAAGGGAGGTAATTGTCATCCCTTATTTGATATCATATGGAAGAAGGGGAGGGAGGGAAGGATCCATTTTTCTTCTCTTTAATAAACTAAATCGTTTCCACATTGAAAAGATTTAGGAAGAAATGAAGCTCACTCTCTCCTTCCCCTTTTTACAACTCCCTCCTTTCCTTTTCTCTCCACAATTGCTATCCAAACATGTGTTTTATCGATGGGATCTAGGTGTCTATATGCTGCTAACCTTACCCATATCAGGCTGCCAGTGAAAGGTTATTTCTAAGAGTTAGATAAAAAATTATACATGGAAAAATACGAGGCAAATGAGAGTGATTAGGAACATATTTATTTGCTACTGAATAAGCCTGACCTTTTATATATATATATATATGATTTAATAAACTAAAATGTACACCAATTAGTGTGCTAAACTACGAGCCCCATCCTTCTAATTAGCCAAAATTTTCTTTTTTTTTTAAAAAAGAAAAAGTATATGTCCACATAAGTATGTCCGCAAATGAAGTTATTGTTGTTTTAAATTTCTTATAAAAGGCAATCAATTTTACTTTGTAATATTGTAATATTGGCACAAGTAGTGTTGATTCATGCTTGTGAAGGGATGGCTTGTTAACTTCTGTGTTATGTTATCAATAAAGCTGTTAGAGTCCTAATTGCCAAGATCATACTCAGTAGAACAGAGTATGCTCATTAATTGTTTGTACCCTTCAAATTTTTTCCAGGGCTTTGAGGCATATGTTGGATTGCTGTTGCTTCGAACTGCATTTGCTGGGGTTGAATGGCAGGTAAGCTACCTGTCTTACAGCCTTTTCAATTTTCCGTAGAAGAGGGAAAAAAGGGTTATGTGAATTCTTCCTGCTTAATATTTCAACAGTATTACTTCGTAACAAGTACCTTTGGCAGGTTGTCTTCTGTGGATTTCTCCTGGTTTTGATGGCAGTCGGGAATTTTGTAAACACGGTGCAAAGTTTGCTTGTCAAATCGCGGTTTAAAGCAAAGATGAAAAGGACTAAAAGTAAGCAGCAGATAGATTAGGAATGAATTTTCTGAAAAGTTTTGATATTCTCATACTAGTTTTTATTTTCTCCTTTTAAAAATGTATATTCTCAGTTCGTTGGTTGTGTGATGCTTTGGTCATTCCGTAGATTTGCTAAAGGTACATCAAAAGAAAAGAAAAGAATAATTAAGAAAAGGATATCGACATGTATGATTGTTAATTTACAACAAACTACTTTCGTTTTTTAGATTCGACTGAAATTGTATCAGTGAATAATGAGATGGGTATATCCCAATATTGACTTTAATGTATTCATTCTTGCTACTTATTTGTACTCTTAGAATTGCTCAGCAGTTAATCTATGCATCGAAAATCCCAAAGGTGCAAGTTCTCATTCTTTAAAATGCTCAGCTAGCAAGACAGCAACTTGGAATCATCTCAACTTCAAACAAAACTACGAATTCAAGTTTCAAAATGTGGAAATGACCAAGATCAACTGGTTTATGGTCTCTCTCAGTATGAATCATCATCATGTAAGTAAAAAGAACAGTAAAGTTGGGGGCTTTTTTTTGTTGAACTCAATAGCCTTACATTTGGAGAACCATTGTTTGCTCGGGAACTCTGCTCGACTTTCATAAAACTGTTCCTAAAATCTGGTTTAGAATTAGAATGTTGATCAACAAACTCGTATCTGTTTCGCTGAGGTGAAGACTGAAGTGTTTAGTGTGCGTACGTACTCTTTACTATCACTATTAATAGGTTACATATGACTTTTCAATAAGGTCATAAGGAAATCACAGACAACAATCTTGGTCCAACAGGAGAAGTCTTAGGGCCTGTTCTGATTGACTGAACTCAGCTGAGCTGAACTGAACTGAACTTATTAATTAGTGATTTTTAACTACGGATTAGTGATCTTTGATTATTTATTGATTATTTATTACTATACATATGTGTATATACAAATGTACATATTATTATTATTATTATTATTATTATTACTAATTATCGATTATTATTATTATTATTATTATTATTATTTATTGATTATTATTATTATTACTATTATTATTATTATTATTATTATTGTTATTATTATTATTTATTGATGATTATTATTATTATTTATTGATTATTATTATTAGTAGTATTATTTCAATTATTATTGTTATTAATATTATTATTATTATTTATTGATGATTATTATTATTATTATTATTATTATTTATTACTTATTATTATTATTATTTATTGATGATTATTATTATTATTATTTATTACTTATTGATTATTATTATTATTATTTATTGATTATTATTATTATTATTATTATTTATTACTTATTGATTATTATTATTATTATTATTATTGTTAATATTATTATTATTATTATTATTATTTTAATTGTTGTTGTTGTTGTTGTTAACAATAACAACAACAACAACAACAACAATAAATAATAATAATCATAATAATAACAATAATAATTGAAATAATACTACTAATAATAATAATCAATAAATAATAATAATAATCATCAAATAATAATAATAATAATAATAACAACAATAATAATTATAATAATAATAATAATAATCAATAAGTAATAAATAATAATAATAATAATAATAATAATCAATAAATAATAATAATAATAATAACAATAATAATTGAAATAATACTACTAATAATAATAATCAATAAATAATAATAATAATAATAATAATAATAATAATAATCAATAAATAATAATAATAATAATCAATAATTAGTAATAATAATAATAATAATATTAATATTAATAATAATAATAAATAATAATAATAATAATAATAATATTTACATTTGTATATACACATATGTATAGTAATAAATAATCAAAGATCACTAATCCGTAGTTAAAAATCACTAACTAATAAGTTCAGTTCAGTTCAGCTGAGTTCAGTCAATCGGAACAGGCCCTAAGACTTCTCCTGTTGGACCAAGATTGTTGTATGTGATTTCCTTATGACCTTATTGAAAAGTCATATGTAACCTATTAATAGTGATAGTAAAGAGTACGTACGCACACTAAACACTTCAGTCTTCACCTCAGCGAAACAGATACGAGTTTGTTGATCAACATTCTAATTCTAAACCAGATTTTAGGAACAGTTTTATGAAAGTCGAGCAGAGTTCCCAAGCAAACAATGGTTCTCCAAATGTAAGGCTATTGAGTTCAACAAAAAAAAAGCCCCCAACTTTACTGTTCTTTTTACTACATGATGATGATTCATACTGAGAGAGACTTGTTGTTGTTGTTGTTGTCGTCGTCGTCGTCGTCGTCGTAATAAGAGATTAAAAGAATGAAATTTGGCTTTATATCATTAGCAATATCATTAGATGTAAATTAAGAGCTGAACTGAACTGAACTGAATTTCAACGGAAGAGAACAAGCCCTTAGTGATCCAATTAGTTTAGTTGGTAGTTGTAATTGCAAACCTTGTCTTCAGTTATGCAAATTAGGCTATGACTCCTATAGTCCTACGTATGTTGTGTCCTGTGTGGTGTGTAACTTGCGTGAATTCGTGAAATCATAGTTATTATGGATACTTATTAATTGTTCGGGGCGGGGACAACCTAAAATCCACCCCCGCCACATCACTCATGACGGGTATGGTTTTTATATCCATCCCCACGCTAGCACTCGCCAAACCAAGACCCATCCCTGCCCACTGGGACTGAGATGGGGCGGGTCTCCTACTTGACCCGCTCTATTGACATCCCTAGTTGTGTCACGTACTCATACATAAATACAACAGTAACAACACTATATGACTTGAAGACTTCATTTTAGATCAAATCATGCAAAAATTTTATAAGATGGTCATGTTTGAACACACTTCCACCCGTGTGTGTCAGAAATTTTTAGCTAAGTCCGAGTAATATAGTCTAGCATTAAGAAATTTTTTTTGTTGTATTTCAACAGAAAGCTAATAATATCCAATCTTCTAGCTAATGGTGTAATCGTAGAGGCCTAGGTTGGTTCATGTGTTGGTGGTTGTGTTGAATGATGGTAACCTTATTATTATGAGTGCGAGACCAATTCATATTATGTGCAAGATCAAACAAATAACAAGTGTAGCTAGAATAAAATCATTCCCCACTAACACTATATATCCAGAATTGAACTATGAACAATGAAAATATAATAGTAAGTAAGAGTAGAATTTAATCAAACATATCCAATTGTTGTGCTTTGATTTTACCAACGGAAAAATACATTCAAAACAAGTCGATACAACAAAATCTACCTGTACTGAACTGATTATTCTTCTAAATTGCCCAACATGTAGATGAGCTTAATATGAACACATGAAGCTCATAAAAAAAAAAAAAAAAAAAAAAAAAAAAAAAAAAAAAAAACCAATCGTTTCTACCTAATTAGATATATATATCAAATAAATAACATTAAAATTATTTATGATGTAAAATTATTTATGAATTAACAAAATTTGTGAAAACTATATTTATAACGTAAAATTATTTATGAATTAACAAATTTTGTGAAAACTATATATATCTATATATATACTAAAATAACAACCGCTAATATCATTACTGCCTACGTGTCACTTTCTTATTTTATTTTTTCCCTCCAAAATGCATCGATGATGTCATATTTTTTCTTTACAACCTATCCTATTTTGCTTTAAAAATTAAATTCCATTTGAATTTTTAAATTTTGGGTTTTCTACAAGTATTATGTTATGTATAGTAGTTATTTACAGTTTGTTAAAAATAGTTAATAATATAAAATAATATAATTTAATTGAAATTTCCTAATTAAATATGAAAATTATGCACTTTTGGAAATTGTATATTCATATTTAATAAAAAATTAATCAGGAAAATGGAAGAAGTAGTTATTTTCTTTCAATATGTGTTAAATGTCTATAGTTCAATTCTTATTATAAAACCGTGCATAGCACGGGATTAACCTAGTTTATGATATGTTTGCAACCATACAAATAAAATAACGCATGGTCAACGTCTTAGACTCTCTCTTGATATCTTTGTGATTAGCCTTGACAATCTTTTCATACAACCTCACTACTAGAAAAAGGTCTATTTACGACCAAAATTCACGACCATACACGTTTTTGGTCGCAATAAATCAGTATCAACGTCGAGTTTATTAAGTGGTCGCGAATAGTATAGTTATTTACAACCAGTTACGAATCTCGTTGTACTTTGTCAATATTCTCGTCGTCAAAAATACCAAAATTTCGCCAAAAGTAAGGCGGGATTCTTCCCGGGTTTGCAATAACAATTACGACCATATGAAATTTATTTACGACTAGTTAGTAGTTGTGTTTGTCATATAAACTTTATTTTTTAAAAAAATGCTTGAAATGACAATACCACTTCAATTAAAAATAAAAATAAAAGTTGAAAATGAAAAAGAAAAGTCAGGAAATAAACCCTTTGTTTCCTTTGTCATTTCATCACCGATTCACCGTCACTTTTTCATTCTCTCTCTTCCAAGTTTGATAATTGCTGTCAAAAGTGATTCTACTTGTTGAGCTTGGATTTTCCTCACTAATCTTAAATTTGGTTAGTATTTTAGTAGATTCATACTCCAAAGGCCCAAAATTTGGATATAATTCGCTCAATTGTTCGATTTGTTCCAAGTTGCTAAGTGTTGAACTGTGATTGTGGGGGAAAAACCTGTTGAGGTAAGCCTAATCTTTTCAATTTTATTTTCGTTTAATCATCTTTATATGGGTTTAATTTTCTATTCATTTTTCTGCTTTCATTTCTAAGGTATAATTTTTTCTATGGGTTTAACTGCTTTTTTTAGGTGGTATAGGGTTAGCAAATTTGTCGTTGTTTTGGGTTTTGTTCTAGAAATTATCAGTAGAGATGGAAGAATGGGGTTTTTATAGTGGGAATTTTAGAAAAGAAAGTGAAAGTTAATTAAATAATAGTTTGAGGAATCCAAAAGATTACTTCATTTGTTAAATAGTTTGGCCTTGATTTAACCAATTATGTTTTGTAGTGGGAAGAACAAAGAGTAAAATATTAGTAGGAGCAGAGTATATGTGATATGACGTCTTTAAGAAAAATTGAGTTTTTTTTTAACAAGAATATGCATCTACATATCTTCAGAATAGGCAAAATTGGATGAATGTCTTTAGAGCTTAACTTTTTCTTGTCTTCTTTGTAAATGATTATGTAGTAAAGTAAGATAGTTGTTCTGCTTCTTTATTTTTATGTAATTTATATGTAGGCCACATACTTTTATACGAAGTATGAGTGATCCCATATAGTGGGTCTTACGATTTAATCATAAAGAATAGATTGAAAATAAAGTGATTAACTTATAGTAATTCTTATTGTTTATTATTGAATATATGTTGTTAATGTTTCATATGTTTGCCCCACATTATTCGTATGACACTAAACTTTTTGCTCTTGGTTCTTATGATTGGTATTTTTGTCTTATATGCTAACTAATTGGTGAAAAATTTATAGTAATTCTCAATTTGTTGGTTTATTTAACTATATTGTTTATAAGGTGCACATAGTATAGCTATGGATGATATTGGATCTTTCTTGTTTGTCCATTTTCCTTTTAAGTCCATTCCTTTGATTGTTACATATTAAAATTATAATTAAATTGCTAAGTTAAATAGTTATTGGTACCTAGGATTAACTATACTTTATTGTACTATATGCTTATATGTTGTCTTCAACAAATCATGGTAAAAAAATCTTTAAGGGTGATGTAAATTTGTAATTTCAGATTATGGCACCTTGTAAACTATGGATGAAACTAGCAGGAGATGATCGTTTGAATATTGAATATGAAACTGGAGTTGAAAATTTTATTAAATATGCATTTGAGAGGACAGGTGAAAAAGAGAAGATTAAATGTCCTTGTGTAAAATGCAAAAATTCATCATTTGGTTCTCAAAATATGGTTAGAGATCATTTGCTGACCTTTGGCATCATCCAAAATTATACATTTCCAAAATTATACATTTTGGTATCATCACGGGGAGAGGGTGGGTGAGAATTTCTTTGAATCACCAACAAGAAATCATGGTGATGAGTTATTAGAAAGTGATAACGAAGCAGAGATACAAACAATGCTTAGGGATATTTTTCCTAATTGTGATATTCCTGAAAATGATATGTATATGGATTCACCTACTCGTATACCTGAAAATCCAAATAATGATGCAATGAGATTCTATAGATTGTTTGATGATTTTCAAAAACTATTGTATGAAGGCTCAAACTCATCCAGATTGTCTGCAATTGTTAATCTGCTTCACATTAAAACTCTTGGTAGATGGAGTAATGAGTCATTTACTATGTTGCTGCAATTTTTGAAAACTCAGCTACTACCAAAAGAGTCATCCCTTCCTGATTGTTTTTATGATGCTAAAAAGACTGTTAAAGATTTAGGTCTCTCTTATCAAAAGATAGATGCATGTGTTAATGACTGTATGCTCTTTTGGAAAGATGATGAACAATTAGAATGTTGTAAAGTATGTAAGGCTGCTAGGTGGAAGCAAGGTAAGCATAGTGGAGAAACTAGAACAAACAAAAAAGGTAAGAGAATACCCCAGAAGGTACTTCGTTATTTCCCACTAAAGCCTAGACTTCAACGTTTGTTCATGTGTTCTAAGACAGCCTCTGATATGAGATGGCATCATGACAGACATATTGAAATTGGTGTGATTAATCACCCTGCTGATGGTAAAGCATGGCAACATTTTAATGAACAACATGCAACCTTTTCTTCAGAACCTCGTAATGTCAAGTTAGGGTTAATTAGTGATGGATTCAACCCATTTTCTAATATTGCAAATTCAGAACCTCGTAATGCTGCCCTTAGTGACTTAATCGATTAGAATGCTTTGCAAGAGTCTTCACCAAACCAAGAGGAAGGTATTTTATTAACTTTTATCCTACAATTTGTATAATGTTATTGCATTATAATTGTTTGATTAAAAAAAATTTAATGATAAGTATGTAACTCAGCAACAAGGAAGAGAAATCGAAGACCTGATTCAAAGCCAAGGGGTGTAAACAAGTGCAAGAAAGTAGCAAATTTAAAAGAAGGTGAAAAGTTGGAGGTTGACTTTTATATGAGTGGTCCAGTTGGTGAAAACCATAAAGATTTGTCACGACACATGGGAAAACTTGTTCGAGATCGCACAATATGTCCTGTTAGAGTGCATTCATGGGATGAGATAGATAATGCTACGAAGGAGCATTTGTGGCTGTCAGTTCTGGTAAAGTACTAGTTTATGATTTATATGTAGTATATTCTGTTCCATTAATACTTTTTTTTTTATGATTGAATTAGTTCATATAATTGTGTAGAACAAATTTGCTGGTAAAGGATTTGAATTAGATCGTAGATCAACTATTGATCATATGAAAAGATTGTGGCAAAATTGGAGAGGCATATTGATGCAAGAGTCAATAATTAAGAAAGGTGGTCTTGAACATGCTTTGAAGCAAACACCTAATGATTTAACTCCAGAAGACTGGGAGTGGCTTGTGAAAGAGCATTTTTCAAGTCCTTCTTTTATAGTAAGTTTGATAATATTTAGCCAATCTTTATAAAAGTGACAATGCTATTTATTTTTAATTTTCTGTTATGTATTACAGAAAGCTAGCTCAAGAAATTCCAGCAACCGAGAAAAACTTACCATGCCTCATCACACTGGTAGTACACCTTTCAGACAAATTATTTGGGAAGAAATGGTAAGATTAACTTCTACTTATAGCCTTAAATTTTGTACTACTGGATAATAATAATATTGAGACGATCTGGTTAACTTTGAAGGGTGGAAAAGAAGGAAAGGATCCACCTCCTATTTCTGCTATTTTCAAGAAGACTAGATCAGGGAAGTCTGGGAACTTAAAAGAGCCTGAAATCGCAAAATATGTATGTCATCTTTGTAGTTTTAAAAGAAACTAACATCATTATATATGTGTGGAACTAGTATAATGATTTTTTTTTTCTAAAAAATTCTGTAGGATGAGATAGTAAGTGTGGAAACAGAAAATCCATCACTCTCACACTTTGACGTTGTTGAAAAATGCTTTGGGCCACAAGATCGTGGTAGTGTAGTTTGTTTTGGCTTTGGTGTAAGACCTAAGGATGTACGAGGCCCTTTACCTACTAGAGTAGATCTCACAGCAAGTCTCCACGAGAAACAGAAAGAGAATAATGATCTTCAAAAGAGAATGGATGAAATGGAAAAAACTCATCAAGAGGAGCGTGAGGCCAACAACAAAAAGATGGACGATTTAGCAAAGAAACTCAATATGTTCATGTCAATGTATATGCAACAAGCTAGTAGTGGTGGTGATCAAGCTAATCCTAATGCTAATTTAAACTAAGGTAAGATGACTTTTAAACATATATATATATATATATATATATATATATATATATATATATATATATATATATATATATATATATATATATATATATTTTTTTTTTTTTTTCTTCTTATCTTCTAAATTTTATTGGCATGTTTGGTGAAGTTTTCTGCCTTTTTATCTGCCTTTTTTTTTTTTTTTTTTTTTTTTTTTTTTTTTTTTATCCTTTTTGTCTATACTTATCTATTGATGATTTCCTTTTTGAACTTGAAACCTCAAGTGATAAATGGTACTAATATTAAAAATTGCATCAGCTTTGTTTATGTTGTGCGCACTTTGAGTATAAAGTTTAATATATGATATGCTAATATATAATATGCTGATTAAGTCAGGGGCTTTTTAGGATAGCTCATTTGTTGTTTGTCTATGATACTCTTGTTCTAGCATGAGGTGGTTCATTACTTTTATGTAGTACGATCTGTATTGCTTGCTTCCTAATTTTGCTGTCATTGGGCGAGCTTTGTAGTTTTCTTTTAGCTGCTGCTATTTTATGTTGGTTGTTATTTTATGTTGGTTGCTTGGAGGTGGTTCTAATATGTTTGATTGTCTATTCTAAATATAACCTATGTTTCAATGGATTGCAGGGATATATAGTAGATATTATTGGAACAACTTTTGAAGACTCGACAAAGCTCAACATGCTCATGGACGCTTCTATTTTGGTGATTGATCGAATCCACTAATTTTAGTTAGATCAATACTTTTGATATATTCTAACTTTAGTTTATTGGAAATATTCTAAGCACATCGTATATATGATGATTTTTGCTATTTTGGACGATTAAAGAATGTGTATCCTTTTGAATATTTGTAATTGACATTGTGTTAAACTATATATGATATCAATGAGCAAGTTTGGAGTTATTATAAGGGTGTGCTAAATTGCAACTTTATAACTATTTTGATGAGTATATTATTTGTGTAGAAATTATATTTAAAATTTATATATAAAAAAATGATGATAAGAAATCTGGTCGTAATTATAAAATTATTCGTCGTAAGTAATTAGCATTAAATTTTCAGAAAAAATAATCACGACAAGTAATCTGGTCGTGAATGTGTACAATTGTTGTCTATGAGGAAAATGACGACAAGAAATCTGGTCGTAATTATAATATTTATTTGTCGTAAGTAATTAACATTACATTATCATAAACATTAATTACGACAAGTAATTTGGTCGTGAATGTGTACAATAACGACAAGAAATCTGGTCGTAATTATAAAATTTAGTTGTCATAAGTAATTAACATAACATTATCGGAAACAATAATTAAGACAAGTAATCTGGTCGTGAATGTGTTACAATAACGACAAGTTTTGTACCTCGTCGCAACAAACTTAATTACGACGAGTCTTCAAAACTAGTCGTCAACTTTTCGCGATCAAGCCTATAGCGACGGCTGACGACCATACGCGTTTCTCGTCGTAAAAGCCCCTTTACGACCAGATTAAGCTCATTTGCAACTGGAAAACTCGTTTTAGATGAACTATTTTCTAGTAGTGTCTCACTTTCTGCCAGTTTTCTAAATTGTTATCTAAATATGGTATATATATTATTTTAAATAACAATTAAGTGGATTAGATAACAATTAAGTGGAATACATTACCCTAAGTAATGATCGATAATTGTTATCTAAAACTGGTATATATATATTATTTTAAAAAATTCAAACAAACCGCATATATATATATATAGTTTTCCCGAGTTTTTGAAGAGGGACATACATAGAATTTAATTTTCTTAGCGCGCCATGTAGAATTATAAATTTTTGTTGTAGCCAATTAAGTAAGAGATTATTAATTTCTTTTAAAATTAAATAATTCAAAAACCATATAGGCAAAATTGGCGAATGAAATTTTTAAGTTTAAATTAATTAATTATTATATATTATCTTTTAATATTAGGAATTTTATCTAAATATAAAACAAATTTCAACACATTAATACAAAAAAAAAATATTTAAAAAAAAAAATCAAACAAACTGTATATCGCACGGGCTTCATCTGGTAATTTTCAAAACCTAACTATTTTTTTAAGTCGTCATCAAATAATTATAGGGAATATAATCCCTTAACCTGTGTCCATGAGAACACTTTAGAAAAACCAATATTTAGATTAAAGGTGACAATTAGTTGGTTTAGATCAGGTATTGGTCTAGTCATATATTTGGATGAATTGGTTTTAGGCTTCGGGTAGGCCATATTCAGCGCAAAACCCCTTAAACAACCTATGAGACTACAAAAAAAAAAAAAAAAAAAAAAAAAAAAAAAAAAAAAAGGGTTCAACTGATCTTCATTCCAAGAATCGTATTACAATTTGCAAGTGGGATTGCTAAGATAGAATTAGGGGAAAGAAAAGATAGAATTAGGAAACTAAATATATCATATTGTTTAATTTCCTAATGTGATTCGTATAAGGTTAATGGAAGTAATAATCAATCAATAATCAATAACTATATACTAAAAGACACACAGACACATGCAATTTTTGTACCTCTCTCTAAGACTCTCAGTTATTTCGTTGAAGCGCACTCAACGTTCTCCATTGAAGAGTTTTTCGTTGAATTTTATCCTTGTTTCTCCCATTGAAGTAGCTTCTAAGGTTCGTTGTTTATTGTTGTCATCATCATATCAATTTCACAATTAAGGGTTTATATTTGATCTAATCTAATTTAATTATCAGTGCTTTAAGTTTAGGGTTCGTAAATTATTAGATTATGAAACATCATATTTAAAAGAAAAGAAAATTATGAGCATAATTTGATTTTTGAATCAAATATCCCTAAAATTAAGTATTTTTCGAGATAGTGATACGATTCAGATAATTGAATAGCCAAGCTCAGCTCAAATGATTGAACAAGAGCTGGATTGATTAGCTAAGAGAAAATCCAAGGAGAAGGGAATTCTCAAGAGGATAACCAATGGAACTAAACAATGACAGATTAGAATTTAGAGAGAGAAAGAGAGATAAGCAGGCCCCAAATCTCCTCTTTAGTATATAGTTTATGTAGTTTTTGCATAGTTTATTGGTCAATAATTGAGTCTCTATTTATAATAGGTTGTGAGTCTCTCTTCATGAGAGTTTGCGAGTCTCTCTTTGTGAGAGTTGTTTCTCCCCTTCTATGGGGTTTTTCTGTTTTCTTTTTCTGTTTTAGGGTTTATGGGTCAAGAGGGACGAAGATAGCAAATCTTCTGCGACGGAACTGATCTTTCTCCTTTGATGCTACACGAATTTGTGAGATTGCTGTATTTTGGGAAGACGTAAGGACATCATCAATGGTTTACAGTCTGTTCTTCAGTAGAGAAGTTAGTAGATTAGGAGAAAAAATATGTTTATGATGTGAGATCTATTCTTTGTAGTCTTTACTTGATTTCTGTAAGTGTCGTTTGACTTGTTTAATTTATGCTATTTCTATGGTTTTCCTTCAAAAAAAAAAAAGTTGTATCAAATATTAAAAAAAAAAAGTTAAAAAAGGGAATTAGAAGGGGAGTTTTGGAGGTAAAAAACAGCACCAGGATGTGACATGTGTCATTCCCGGTGTCTGTTTTAGTGTTAAGTTATTGATTTATTAAGATAATTATAGTTAGTGGCAGATCTTGGCCGAAAATATTTGAGGGGTCGAGATTTGAATATTTTACCTCACCCAAAACTAATCAATATGCCCCTTAAGCAAAATAATTTATGTGGCGCAGGCCCCTAATGGCCCCGGTGGAAGGTCCTCCTCCAATATAGTGAGACAAAGAGCTAAAAAAATGTTTTGATTTTTACAAATAGAATTATTAGTAATTGTTAATTTTTTTTAAAAAAAATTCAGGGTTGTTAATTATATAAATAAAAAGGATCATTTGTTTATTTAAATTACTTTGTAACACTAATTGAGTAACCCCTATAATATTGATGAGGTAAGCCTACAACAATAACAAAGTAACCCTAACGTAACCCCTATATCACTAACAAACACATATAAGAATTTGTGATAGTTTATGGGTACTTATGCATGAATTCAAAATGATTAAAAAAAAAAAAAAGAGTGCATCAACTAATGATGATTAAAAAAAGTTCATGAATTAAGGGAAAAAAAAAAGTTGAAAATAAATTTTTCTACTCGTATTCTGTTTTGTGACTTATGCTCAATTGATTGATCGGAAGATGTAATCTAGCTTGCAGTAGCTGAAACGCTTGTCGCTTGCAATGTCAAATTATTCACTTGAAGAGAAGGTAACACATCAAATTAAATACGGAATTGAATAAAAAATTTGGAAAAAATATGGTAAATTTTTTTATTGAAAAATAATGAAGATTAATTTGACTACTTTTCAAATAATTTTTTAAACATAACTATTTTTTAAGTCGTCATCAAATCATTATAATCCCTTAACATGTGTCCATGAGAACACTTTAGAAAAACCAATATTCAGATTAAAGGTGACATTTAGGCCCTGTTCTTTTGAGCTTCTCGGCAGAGCAGAGTAGGGGTTAGCAGAGCAGAGCAGATTAAATTTCAGCAGAGCAGAGTAGATCAGATTTCAAGATAGCAAAGTCGAGCCGAGCCGAGCAGAGCAGATTTCAACATTATTATATTAATACTATTATTAATGTTATTGTTGTTGTTGTTGTTGTTATTAATAAGTGCATATACGATTTAGGTGAGTGAAAACACGTATATATGTGTACCATATTTAACATATGTTAATAGTAAAAAGATAAAAGACAACGGTTTACTTATATTTATTTCACAAAAGTTTTAAAATAAAATGATTTAATGAGTAATAATGATTTTACTTATAAATTTGTCTTAATCATATATTTTCAACCCTAAAAATAATAATAATATACAAAGTATTACTTGAAAACAACTTTTTTTTTTTTTTAATTCTTAAATTGTATGGAAAGATATGAAAAATAATTCAACTCAATGAACTAACAATTAATACCACATAAAATGTTTCTACACATTGTGATTCTAATATCAAATGTTTATAAAAGAAATTGTTATTATTTATTTTTTGAAAGAATTGTTATAATTATTAGAAATTATTAATTAATAATATTATTAAATATTAATTCATAATAGTTTGAATTATTAAATATTATTAATAATAATAATTATTATGATTAATAAATATTAGTTATTATTAATAATAATAATTATTAAAATTATTTTTAATATTAATAATTATTACAATTATTCAAAATAATAAATTATTATCATTAATACAATATTTATTATTATTATTGAATATAATTATTATGTTGTTATTATTAATTATTATTATTTGAAAATAGAGCAGAGTAGAGCTGAGCAGAGCAGAGCAAAATTCTTTTGAGCAGAGCAGAACGGAATTGATTTGAGCAGAGCAGAGCAGCTCTAAAGAATGGGGCCTTAGTTGGTTTAGATCATGTATTGGTCTAGTCAGATTTGGATGATTTGGTTTTAGGCTTCGGATAGGCCGTATGCAGCCCAAAACTCCTTAATCAACCTAGTTCATAAGACTACCCAAAAAAAAAAAAAAAAAAAAAAAAGGTTCAACTGTTCTTCATTCCAAGAATCGTATTACAATTTACACGTGGGATTGTTAAGATAGAATTAGGGGAAAAAAGATGATAGAATTAGGAAACTAAATATATCATATTATTTAATTTCCTTATGTGATTCGCATAAGGTTAATGGAAGTAATCATCAATCAATAATCAATAACAATATACTACTCCGTAAAAAAAAACACATGCAATTTTTTTTTTTTTTTAAAGAAACACATTCAATTTTTGGTGTGTCTTTAGTTTTTTTTTTTTTTTTTTTCTTTTATAATTTTTTTTGAAACAATAAAACTTTTATATTTTAGGAAATTATTATTATTATTATTATTTGAGAATCTTTAGGGAATTATTATATTATATACAAAATAAATTAATAATTGTCATGGTGGAATGTGTTTTGGCAACATATAGTTACTTAAAAAAAAAAAAAAAAAAAAAAAAAAAATCTTTGAGAACCTTTTTTTTTTAAGAATATAATCTTTATATACTTCACAGAAAAATTACTGAATAAGAGAAAAAAGCCTCTACTCCTATTTCCTACCTCTCTCTCAAAGTCTTAGTTATTTCGTTGAAGCGCACTCAACGTTCTCCATTGAAGCGCACTCAACGTTCTCCATTGAAGCGCACTCAACGTTCTCCATTGAAGCGTTCTCCGTTGAATTATATATCCTTGTATCCCCCATTGAAGCAGCTTCTAAGGTTAGTTGTTTGTTGTTGTCGTCATCATATCAATTTCACAATCAAGAGTTTATATTTGATCTAATCTAATTTAATTATCAGTGCTTTAAGTTTAGAGTTCGTAAATTCTTAGATTATGAAACATCATATCCAAAAGAAAACAAAATTATGAGCGTAATTTGATTATGTATTTTTCGAGATAATTCAATATGAAATCAAACCTCTTTTGAGTTCTAATTTGTTATAACGTCAAAGTAAATTGAAGAGCATCCCCAATCTCATAAACATTTTAATTCAGATTTTGTATGGTTTTTTTTTTTTTTTTTAAAATTTGTTTGTGTTTTCATGAAGTCATTGAATTAAACAAAAATTCTAACTTTTTTTGTTGTAATGGTTTCTGAATACGATTATAATGACAATAAATAACTATAAAGGCCAATCTAAACACTAATAAATGGAATTACTAGGAATTGTTGATGCTAAATAAATATTTGAGGGTTGTTAATTCGATAACACAATTTGCAGCTTGATAAATTTATAAATAAAATGGATTAGTTGTTAATTATTGAATTACATTACTTAGTAGTAATAGTTTTGAAGTACTTCTACTTAAATTAAAGACGATTACAGTGGGAAAAATATCTAAAATTCCAATCAAACGACAATTATAGTGAGAAAAAGAGCTTAAAAAAAATAAGTTTTAATTTTTACAAATAGACTTATTAGTAATTGTTAATTTTTTTTTTTAAAAAAAAACAAAAATCTGGGTTTTTAATTCTATGAATAAAAAGGATCATAAAAGAGCGCATAAATTAAAGATGATTAAAAAAAAAAAAGGTGCATGAATTAAGGAATATAATAAAAAAAAAGTCAAAAATTAATTTTCTACTTGTATTATGTTTTGTGACTTATGCTCATTTGATTGATGGGAAGATGTAATCTAACTTGCAGTAGCTGAACGTTAATTATCTCTTGAAGGTAACACAGCAAATTAAATTCTGTCCTTCATTAGCCCTTTTTATTCTGTTTTGCATGTTAATTATCTCTTGAATCATCATCTATTTGAGGTTTGATTATAAATAATCTAATTATAAGGCTTTGTAAGATTCTAAATTGTTTGACATAAACTGCAATGTTATAAATTTTTTTTTTATAGTGAGCGTTTGATTGCCAATAGATTTTGTTGTTTGAAATTATATATGGCTGGAAATATAGAATACGGAATAAGTATAGATCGTAATAATTATTTAGTGAATGGGATAAGTATTTATTATGGATAATTATTTACCCTTTTTGGGTAATTGAATTCCCCATTGTTGTTTTCTTGTCACCCCTAAGACTCTAATAACCTCTAATTTTTGTGATCAATGAAGAAACAAAATGAAAATGAGGACAGGCTGAGCGAATTACCAGATGATATTCTTGTCTCCATTCTGTGCCTTGTTGACAGAAAAGAAGCAACAAGAACTTGCATCCTTGCGAAAAGATGGAGATCTATGTCGACTTATTTCACAAGTATGGAGTTTGTTGTTCCACGTGCATTGGTTCTCGAATACTTGTGGAAGAAGAAGTCGCTGAAAAAGGTAAAACGAAGGTTAGTGAATTGGGTGGATCAGGAAGTGACTTTGCATCGTGCTCCATTCATTAATGATTTCAGAATATCCCTTCCATTAAATGCGACTTATTCAAAGCGTATCAATACTTGGATCAAATTTGCTATGGCAAAAAGAGTCGTGAACTTGGAGTTGGATTTTGAATACGGGACAACTTGTAGAGATCACCTTGGTGGTTACTCCGATCAATCTTATTCTCATTACTTGTTACCATCTAATGTCTTCACACGTTCTTCATGTAGACACCTAACATCCATATGTTTCAAGTTTGTTGACCTCAGAGAAGAGGTACTAGAACTGCTTTTGTCTCGATGTCATAGTTTAGAACGCCTACACATTGAAAGATCAAACACACTGTCAAATATGAGGATCATAAACTTGGGAAGAAAGTTGAAATACTTGGCAATACACGAATGCTTTTCTTTGAGGAAAGTTGAGATACATGCTGTGAGTCTTGAATCTTTTGAATTCATAGACAGGGATGGAAGGACTAATGTGGTGTGTGCTAGTGTTCCATCACTTGTTGAAGCACGATTCTGTTGGCAGCATTATGGTCTCGGTTACTCTGGCTTGCTTCCAAATTTCTTGCGGACCTATTGCTTCCCTGCACAGCTGTCTAAGCTTTCCCTTGATATGAAACTGGTTTGTAACTAACAACTTAAACATACATCGATCATCATTTTGTTTGTTTTTAAATTATTTATCTACTTATATTATTATTGACAGATAAAGGGTGGAGATTTTCCCATCCCTTCCTTTCCTAATGTCAAATATCTGGAGTTGCGAGTCTTGGTCGATCAACATACAAACCTTCGTCCGTTGATGTGCTTTGCAAAGGGTTGTCCTTTAATGTATGATTTTAAGTTGCAGGTGAATGAGCTATTCTTAATCTGATTGTTCCCAACTCATGTTTTCTACTTCTCTTATTCTATTTTTTTACTAAATTTGGACCTTCTATATATTGTGCTACAATGGGAGTCCTGTGTACTGTGATGCCTTTTTAACTTGTGCTCTTTTTCTGTAAGTTGAGAACATGCCTAATAATGAAATGTTGCTGTTATAATTAAACTAAGCATATTATTTTGGTTGGGTTTTGCAGTTAATATGGCCTGATTGTTGCTGTCCAAAAATGAAACCTAAACAAGAGGAGCATTGGTTGGAGATACAAGAGGGTACTTCACGACCCTTCCTAGCTTACGCAAATTCGAATGGTCTGGAGCATTTAGTGTTCATGATGATTTAGAATATCCGTTGGCGTTGCACTGTGTTAAGATCGCCATCAACCTAGAGAAATTTATTTGTGATCCACGAAATCTAGCATCTGAGTTTCATAGCCCTAAAAATATAGCTGAAATTGTAGAAGGTGGTAGACAACGTGCAAAGAAACTAGCTATGGTTATTCCAAGGCATATTGAATTTGTAATTCTCTGATTGTGAACAATAATGTTTTTTACTCAATCTGTCACATTCTAGTCCTTTGTCAATTTTCACCCTTCAAAATTTCATCTACGTAGTATAATATAGAGGAGTCAAACAAAAGGTTTAATCCAGCTAAAAACTCGTGACTCTTCATTTTACCTTGCAACCGCAGTTAATTATAGGTTATCATCTTTTAATAATGCGATTTAGTTTATGTATTTAAGCTCATGTCAAAAAAAAAAAAAAAAAAAACCCTCAAAGTAGCATGTATAATTACATATCAGCATATGCTACTTTCATTGGCATACATAGAGAGCTATACTCGTATAATTCACCAAAGGTTGTTTCTTTGGATGTTAAGCCATATGAAGTATATATTCCTAAGATTATGATGCAATACAGGTCATGTGCTTACTTTATTTATCTAAGTTTGTCTCTGAACTTACCTTATACATGAAGGTGCATAGACTATTAAAAGGCGCCTGATATCATAAGATTCATAATTGTTACTACATACTACTATACTAGTGGAGTAAATCATGTAAAGAAGTATGACATAATGATAAGCAGGTATTTGTTAAACAATTAACGATGCAGGTTTCCTAACTTGGCAGAAAATGTAAGAATATAACATGCAAGAGCAGTTGTTTAGCCCTCACCTAAGATGAATGCGGAGCAGGTTCTGTGTATAAAGAGTGGCTCAACCATTTGCCTTACCTCAAGGCTTTGTGGTGGTGGCTTATATGCTAATTCATTACTAGTACCATCACACTTAGCGGCCTTAGCCTACCACTGCAAGCTTAATAAGAAGGTATGTTGCAAGTGTTATGCTCGACTCTCACCTCATGCTACCAATTGCCGCAAGAAGTGTGGCCATAGCAACCAATTATGCCCTAAAAAGGTTTGGAGGTATCTTCATAATTTAAAATAATAAAACGTTTTATTCATGCAATCATGCATGTAACCCCTTGAAAAAATAATCTTCATTAACCTTGGAATCATATTTACATGAAAAAAAACTTGCAATATTTACATGCATTTTCATATGTTAAGCAATGATCCGTATTACTTACCTATGTACAATGTTATTTGTCCATCTGTACAAAATAATTTTCGTGGACAATATGAAGTATAACCTAGGCTAACTTATAGCAACTCCATTGCTAAGCTCTTTCCGGTAAATCTGAATTAAGCCACTTTCATCAGCTATGGGAAGCTTCTCCTCGAGCATAATTTTATATTGTTCATCTCTATCATCAATGTTGCGCATCAAGTCGACCTGCAGTTTGGAAGGAAGAGAAAAAATAAATACCGAATTCAGTCACTGTAAAAAAAGGCTATGTTACTTCATATAGTTGTCTTTGTGATAGGAAATCATTAGATAAAGTAGACACAACAAAAGTACTTAAACATACAAGTATATGTTATAGGCCCTTACTTGGCTGCACATTAGACTTTTTAATCACGAGATTCATTATGGTGTACATACTGTGCATGCGTGTAGAAGAGTTGTAGCATCACTTATCTTTTTACATTTCTATATAAAATTATATGCAGTAAACAGTATCTGATGCCAATTAACAAAGATAAGAATCTTACCGAAGAACAAGACTTTAAAAAAAACTTGGGAGTTTATGTTCATAATATGATAAGAAAGTAGGCTAGAGTAAAGAGCACAAGTATAGAGTTTAATTTGATTCCAAACCAAGAGCACTATGGATGATAAGTTGAAACTAGAAACTAGAACTGAGACAGTTTTAAAATTCCAACTGTGGAGAAAATGGGAATCAGCATATACCTGCTTCTGGAATGACTCGAATTCATCAGAACTCAGGGAACCATCACTGTTTGAATCAAGAAGCTGCATCATCTCTAGTGCATCCTCCCTTTGGGCACCAAGCTCTTCCATCACTTCCATTAGTTCCTCAATGCTAATCCTACCATCACCATTTTTGTCCAATAAGAAAAACACTCTATCTTTCTGATGAATCTCAGAGTTATGGTACACAGATGGAAGATCCTTAAGACGCAAAGCAGCCAGTTCTGCTGCAGCCACCATAATGGCTTTAAGCCGTTTTGCCTGAGGAAGTTAAAATTGAATTTAAAAAATCTGTAAGATATTTAAGTTTATAGCTTCAGGAATTCTCTGCTTAACCTATGAGCTTTATAGAGTTATGGAGCAGCAAAAAAGTGCAAACAAATAAGAGACCAGATGATCTTCTACAGCTAAAAATATTGAGAAACTGTTATATATATATATATATATATATATATATATATATATATATATATTTTTTTTTTTTTTTTTTTTTTTTTTTTTTTGAGGAAGCAAAACAGTAATCATTTAAAATCTACAATAAGCTCCCTCCATCGTAGGACAAGGGATGATTTTACATACACAATGTTACCCTTAATCATTATCAATAAAAAATCAACTGTTGGTTTTCCTAAAAATGATTTATTTCTTCATTTATTTTTCCCTGCATATCAATGAACACAAGTTGACAGTCTTGGTATTCTTCCTCTCCTCCCCCTTTGTTTAATTTTTTGGATAAAGCCCAAAATGTAGTCAACTGACAAACCTAGGCCCCTGCTCATGATGTTTTAGTTACTATGAAGTATTTATTATGTCCCCTAGACAAATAATGACATCAGCATATTAGATCTTTTCTTGAAAAAAAATACACCAGCTCCAGAAGGAGATGGCAAAGCAGAAACCTCTACAACCAAAAGTTCCAACATGATTTCTGTAAAGAAGTTATGTAGTGATATTGAAAGTTGTATTAATGTATATAATAACAGCAAGAACAACCACCAGCACACATCCCATCATAGGAAGGAGAGTGTAGAGACTCGGAGTAAGGTAACTCAATGTCACAAGTCATAACCATAATACCCCTGTCAACCAAAGAGGCTTTAATTTCCTGCATCAGCAATGTCATACCGTATAGAACTGCAATAGTTGCTAATCAATCCAGAAGGAAAATAATTTATGACGCAATCCCATTGCAAAGAGCTTGGAAGAATAATCAACACGCGACCAGGAAGAAGGGATAATGAGTTTTCAAAACTAAATGCCATTGTTAGATTGTCATGTATAATGAAATGTCACTGGTGTAGTGGTGTGTGTGTGGGCTTGGACTATCTAGGTTGGTTAATTAATCATTACTATGTCATTTTTAGAGTACAAAAGACTGCCAATTAATTCTAAGACAGCTTACCTCTTCTGGACCTGTAAGCCCACTTTTGTACAAGGAATGGGATGCTGTTCCACCAGAAGCTAACATATCCATCTCTGTAGTCCGTATCTGTACTTCCATCAGCGGAACTGCATGACCATCATCACTCACATCAACAGCCATGTGCAAGCTCCTGTATCCATTAGCTTTTGGTTTAGCTATATAGTCTTTTGTTCTATTAGGCATTTCTTTCCATAAAGAAAGGACAAGTTCTCGAGCCCTGTAGCATGCCTTGTCTCCCACTTCTGTCATATCAACACCAGGCTTTGGCTTCAACACTACTCTCAGGCCCATGACATCATTTACCTCCTCAGGCTTACGGCCATCTTTTAGAAGCTTCTTCATGGTGCTATAACGACTTTTATATCGACCTTTGACAGAAATATTATCAACAATAGTCTGCAACAATGGATCCATAGTCAAAGATTCAAGTAAGCGATCTCTACAAAGATCTATTAAATCCTTGCTACCCTTCTCATACCTCTTCAACCATGTATCAACATAGAGGTAAGAAGAAGGAAACAAGTATCTGAATGATAAATCCTCTAACTCCAGTGATAAGAAGTATGTTCCCACAGCATGAGCTAAAGGTGCGTGTATTTTCATGACCTCAAGACAAATAATCTGCTGCTGATATCTAGGAAGGTAATCTAGATGTCTCATCATATCTAGCCTCAAGACAAGATCTATAACTACAGCCCTGATGTCATAATATGTCAGACAAAACCTCCTTATTGCAGCTGCATTATCATCATCCAGAAGCTCAGCTCCAAATGGAGCCTTTTTCACACGCAGGCTTTCATGCAGTAAATGAGCAGTACCAGTACCTATCCTATCTCTCACTTCATGTAAAGTGATTGCACCAGCCTCCCAAACTTCTCTAAGTATGCCGGCTGCAATTACCTCTGCATCCATCTGCAGCCATCAGTTGAAAAAAGACTTCAGTTGCTGCACTTTCAATTTTTCCAGGACTCAGAACAATCTCATGATGCATCATAGATCACAATAGCCAAACACAACAAATGACAATAGTCCGCTTACAAACTATAAGCTTAATCAAGTTTGTTATGCTAATGATAAATTGATCTCTTATTATCATTTACGACCAGTCAAATGGGCCGATTGGGTCTGGTCAGGCTGGTCAACTTAATTTCCTAGTTTCGTTCATAACTTGAATGTGGCGGAGGTGCCTATGGTATATTATGTGTGTGGCCATGCAAAAAAAGAAGTGGTTGAGGAATAAATTAATAAGGAAGAAAGTAGGGGTTACCCCTATTGAGCATAAAAGGAGGAAAGTAGCCTAAGGTGGTTTGGCTATATAAGACAAAGATTGAGTGATGCACCCATTAGGAGGCTTTAAGAGTGGCAAAGTAATAGCATCGTGAGGGATATGAGAGCGGTATGAGTCTATTGGGGATTAAAGAAAATTTGGGGTGGTTGAGAGCGGTATGAGTCTATTGGGGATTAAAGAAAATTTGGGGTGGTTGAGAGCGGTATGAGTCTATTGTAGATTAAAGAAAACATGCAATTGGAAAGGGTGGAGTGGCAGGAGAGAAATCTATACAATGACATAAATTGACTTTATATATATACTTGTTTCTTCCCATTCCTTTTCTTATACTCATTGTGTTTTGCAAACATTTTCTCCCTTAAGCATATATTATTTATGACATGCCATTAACTCCTTGATATTTGTATTCTTTGAAGAGAATTAAAGATCATCCATGGCTCATTCAACAACTAAATTTCTAGATTTTATTAATTATTTCCACTTTCATCCTAGTATTATTTTCCAACGCATTTTCTCATCCTCAATTGCTCTTACCAGTTATAAACATCC